GCGACTTGAAGCCGTCGACGCAGTTGTCGACTTGCGTGCTCGCAGCGGACAGCCAGAACGCGCGGTCGTGCTGTCCAGTCTCGTCGTTGATCGCGTCGATCGTACGGTCCAGGTACCGTAGCGCGATGCCGCCCTGCGTACCGCAATCGTCCGCGACCACATTAATAAAGTGGTTCTGACGGACGTTGGCGCGCTTAATCTCCGCAGCGGCGGCGATGATCGCGTGGACCTGGAGCGCCACGGCGGAAACCATCGCCGCGGTGACTTTGTCAGTCGCTTGCGGGAGCACGCTGAGCTGGCGGCGCGCTGCGCGGAACTCCTGGGAGCAGAGAGTTGCGTTCGAGACGCCGTCGCATAGCGCAGGGTGAGAGATGACGAGGTAGTTGTCGGCCATGTAGCAGCAGGAGACGATGGCGAGCGCCACGCCGATGCCCGCTAGGGCCAGCATGGCGGCGCGTTTTATGCACATGTTGGACGAAAGAAAAGTTCCGCGAAGCGACGGGTGAAGGCCGGGAGGTGACATGGGCAGAGCGTCCGTGAATAATGCGACACTGGACTGGCTGGCTAGTGTACGGGTGGTGTCAAGGGATCACAAACCGACTTCAGGAATGAGGTTGTAGTGACATCCTTCTAGGACCTAATTTATGCTGGCCCGCTGCTCGCCTGGTCTGGTGTGGTGATTTCGCGGTTCGGAATGTGGCGTGGAGAGGAGATGTCTGGAATTCTGAAATTGCCAAGGGTGTGGCATTTCGGCGACGACGAAGCGCTTCCTCTCCCCATTCGCCAAAACTTCAAAATGTGGCGGCGGCGATGAGTGACTACAGAGAGAGTCAGGGGGTGAAGGTGATCTGTGAATGGCCAGCTTCCCCCCTGTATAATACTCTCATAACACAGCTGGCGAAATTTATCCGAGGGGAAGGGGCCACGAAGCATCCCGTGGTGATCGAAATGTTTTCGCAAATCGTCGTCATCCAACCATCTTGCCTCACCTTCCCCAGCATCACCCTTTCACGACTTCGACATTCGCTGGCGTCGCATTCGATTGACCAGATTCTATTCTGGAAACTGATGGTTTGTTGTCTGGCGTTGGGGCGACGTAGAAACGATAGTTCTACAAACGGAAAAGGATATATCACTTTCACGTCGAGAAATGTATCGTCGTGACCGATTCTTATAAGGTCGACCGCTATTCGTTGTGATGCTTCTACTTTCCATGTGATGTATTTCTCCGAACCTCTCTCAGTATGCGTCTATGGCTACTCGTATTGCATGTACTTCTCGAATCTCTCAAATATATTTATGAGTCTAGAAACATGTGTCCCTCAACTCATCACTTTCTCTGTACATTTTCCATTAGCCAACGTACATAGGCACCCCTACGTGTTTCCAATATGTACTATACTTCTGCACTCTTATTCAATGATATCTGACCATGCTGTCCACTCCTCCTTCCCCCCCCCCCCCCCCCCTCACAATAAAATACAGACATACATCTCATCCTCCCGCGGTCCGCGTGCATTTCTCAGCGCGTGCTGGGGATCGCTCCGCGTATACGCGATGACTCGAAAGGCTCCGCTGCGCCTCTTAGCAAGTGCCCTCGTGCGCCATGGGCTTCCGCAGATAGGCTGCGCCGCGCAAGGCCCGCTTCCCCTCCCGTGCCATGGGCTTCTACGAATAGATATCTGTGCGGAAGCCGGCCTTCCGCGGCCTGATCTTTGCTCCACGCCATTCCCCGTCCCTGTTACCGAAGCGCCCATGGAATCCCTGAATATCCTCGAACCGCGCTATACCCCTTCGACCTACTTCTCCGCGTCACACGTCGTTACTACCAATTCGTCTTTCCACTCCTGTCGATTCGCCTCCACCTCCGTCCACTCCACCGTTGCATCTGCCGCCGCGGCGAAACCGCACGAAGCATCTGGCGCCGAGTCGCTACTGGCCACCGCTTCCGTTTTTCTCGGGAGGTCCGCTGCTTGAGAACCAATCAGCTGAGAGTTCCGAATCGCAATCGGCTTGGGAGGGGGCAGAGGGGGATGGTAATGCGGCAGGAAAGGGAGTTAAGTGGCGGCGGAAGCAGAATCTGGCGGATATTCTATGGCGGCGGCCGGCGTGGGGGCAAGGCGCGAGAGTGGCGAAGTGGCACTGGCAGGAAGGAATCTTCTACGAGGTTTCTTGTGTTCAGATAGCCAAGGTTGACGAAGAACCCTTCCCCTTCCACCCTTCCCTCCCTTCTCCACTCCACCCCCCCCCCTCTCCCCACTTCCCGCCTTCCCCCTCCTAGCCAAGTTTCTTCTTAGCCGCTAGCTGACATAGTATCATTTATCCCTGCTTAGCTGTCTGATAACTGATAAGATATCCTTTATCTCAGCTTTGCCTTCTGATTCCGCCCCTCCTCCCCACTTCCCTTTTTGCTATCACACTCTTCTTACTACCTCAGACCCCCCGCTGTTATCACGTCCCTTGCGGCATCTATGCAGACTGGGAGCACGGCCACAGTGTGGGGGATATTCCACCAGCAAGGTGTGTGTAATCAAGGGGGCCTTAAGGCTTTTAAAGTACGAGGTTAAAGGGGAGGCGCACTTGCAGCAAGGGAGAGGGAGGGAAGGAGGAGGGGAGCGGGGGAGAGGGGGGGGGGAGAGAGAGGGGGGGGGAGAGGGGATGGGGGAGGAGGGAGGGGATAGGGTAAGGTGTATCTGAAGTAGTGAAGGAGGGGGATGGGGAGCTGAAGCAGTGTTAACTAACAAGGACACTGAAGCTGATAATGAGGGGAGAGAAGGGGGAGTTGCTAATGTGCTGCATTCCATTTCTCAGCAGTAATACTTTTTCACTTGACCCTGTCTCCCTCCCCTCAGGTGTTAAATACTTTCTCACTTCGCCCTGTCTCCCTCCCCCCAAGTGTTAAATACTTTCTCACTTCCCCCCAGGTGTTAAACACGTTCTCTCTTCGTCCTCCCTTCCACCCCCAGGTGGTAAATACGTTCTCTCTTCGTCCTCCCTTCCGCCCGCAGGTGTTAAATACGTTCTTCCTTCATCCTCCCTTCCGCCTCCAGGTGTTGAATGCTTCCTCACTTCTTCCTTCCTTTCCCCCGACTCCTTGTCTCCTCCCGTCCCACCTCAGCCCCCCCCCCCGCCCCAGGTGTGGCATTGGCAGCAGAAGCGAGGATAGGGGGGGCGAATAAGCCGTGCTGGAAAACAGTGAGGGAGGGCAATGAGGAGGGGGATTCTGTGCTGTTGAACTGAACTAAACACCACCAACTCCTACCAACTCCTTTCTCCTCATGTCCCTCTTCCACCCCAGATGTGCCGGTGGCAGCAGAGGCAAGGATAGGGGGGGTGAATAAGCCACGCTGGAAAGCAGTGAGGGAGGGCGACGAGGAGGAGGAGGGTGATGGAGGGGAGGAAGAGGAGGGCAGGCCATCTGTAGAAGCGCAGGCTGTGCTGGCGTCTGTGTAACGTGTGCCCTCGGGACGTTTCCAAATACCTGAAATAAAGGGAGGAGGAGGGTGATGGGGGGAGGGGAGGAGGAGGGTGATGGAGGGGAGGAAGAGGGGGCCAGACCAGTGGTGGAAGCACACACTGTGCCGGCGTCTGTATAACGTGTGTAGACCGTCTTTTCTTTGATAAGAGGGACACTCATAAAATACTATGTAGGGTAGCGTAAAGGGGGGTAAGGTTGAGTCAGGTAGAGGAGCATAGAGTCACAGGGTTGGCCTTGTTAAGGGATCGCCAGCTGTGCAGGATTGTGAGCAGGGTTACCACCAGGCCCCCAAAAGTTTGGAAAATTTTCCTGATTCAGGAATCAGGATTAAAATAGGGAGTTTTTTGGTACTTACCATGATTGTGCAGGGTTTTGTAAATGACACACCCTGTTTTTTCAGGCTTTTTGTAAGGGTAAACTCTGATCGCTCAGCAAGGTTTCTTAGCGAACCCTGAATTTCTCAGCATTGTATGGGTCTTAGTCCTTTCCAAAAGCGTGTCAGGGGGGGGGGCAGCCTAGAATTTCGATGTTCTCCCTCCCACCTTTCCCCCACCCCTCGAGGCTGTGTGAGAGCGCTGATTGGCCCTTGGTCAAAAAAATCTCCGCGCTGTATGTTGGAGGACATGTGAGGGAGGTCATCGGCCCTTAGCCATGTATTCGCCTCGATGTGTGCTGCTGAGGACTGTGTGAGGGCAATTGCTGGCCCTTGACCGAATTTTCTTGATGTGCGTCTGCCCTAGGGCTGTGCGAGGGAAGAGATTCCATCCGCCCCTGCAATCTCGTCACCTCCCCCCCCATATTCCGCCCGTTCCCCCTCTCCCCCCCACCAATTGTCGTTTCCTGCCCATCCCCTAGTCTCACCCCACACACACGAATTCGCGACGAATTCCCAGCACCCCCAACAACCAAGACTTGAACACACATAATTCATGAACTATAACATGTACAGAAAGATTGAGAAATCAGTAATTTTTTTGAATGAATTCTGATGGCTCAGGATTTTTTTTATAGGGGACCCTGAAAATTCAGACTTTTGTGCATGTAGAATCCTGATTGATCTGGAAGCCTCAAAACCAATCTATGGCCCTGGTTACCACGATCGATGTGATGCCATGATCAGTGGTGGAACTTCACTTGCGAAACTGAGATTCACCACCCTTACAGGTGTGCTTATTCCAGTGAGGTTCTCAAACCCTAGTTTGAAAATAGGCTGGATTTGCATTTTGTGTAAAAGCTAGTGTATCGCCTGAGAAAAAATCAAAATCCGTGTTGCATAGTGAAGGCAGCCATAACGAAGTACGGGGACAACCTTCGCGCGCCAGCGAGTGAGCATATTGGGGGGGAGGTTGACCAATATCGCGGGTCATTCTTCCCCACTTGCGCCTCGTTTCCTCTTTAGTCACACTAATTAGCCCCTAGAAACCGAAGCGCCTCTTCATCCAAAATGCTACGCCCTTGCGAACACTATTCATTGCCATTTCATCGTCCCACATTGATTTCACATTGTACTGCAAGCTCTTTTCGTACAATTTGGCTCCCGGCCACTAATAAATTTACAAGGGATACATGAATGCGCCACAAACCAATCCAGACTACCTAACAGACAGCTCCTAATACAACACTTCTATTAACATCGTGGCATCTAAGCTAACATGCAAGTATCTTACGCCTGCTCCTGCTGCCCTTTCTCATGCTCCTACCCCTGCTAGCCCGAGCCTAGTTCGAGCTTAGCTCGAGCCTAGCCCGAACCTAGTAGACTGCTCCTGCTACTGCTCCTGCTCCTGTTGCTCATGGTCCCACTCCTCTGAGCCAGGTGTTGACCTCAGTGAAGGTGTTGGCATCGAAGCCGCTGACGTCAGTGATAATCCCGGGATCCACCCAGCTGGCGCGCGAGGAGGCGGCGCCCGGACCCTTGCTGCCCGCCTCAGCGAGGAACATGCAGCTGCCCTCGTTCCACGACAGCCAGCCGTCCTTCTCAACCATCTGAGAGGGCGGGAGAGGGGAGACGGGGACGCTGGAATGAGGGTAAAGGGAAAGAGATGGCGGGGAGGAAAAGGGGGGAGCGGAGGAACATGCATCTGCCCTCGTTCCACGACAGCCAGCCGTCCTTCTCAACCATCTGAGAAAGAGGAAGAGGAACGAGAGAATGCGGAGAGGGAAGGGGCGTGAGAGGAACACGCAAAGCATCGATGAAGGGAAGACGGCATGAGGATATTACGAAGGGGGCGAGTTCCCCGGGATCCTTCCAGCCTGGGTGCTCCAGCTAGCTGAGCTAGCGCGCGAGGAGGCAGCGCCAGGACCATTGCCGCCCGCCTCAGCGAGGGGGAGGCGCGGGGAGGGAGTGTCTCTTACCGCTGGGAGGTTGGTGTTGATAAAAACGGTGAAGGCACATTTCTTCCAGGGGCGGCCAAGGTACACCTCAGTGACCCCCCTGTCCGCGCCTACAACAGCATTGCGAATCACAATCCCCGTTGGCGTATCGGAGGCTCGGCCCGAGGCCGTTATAGTCACAAACGAGGGGCTCGGGTGTAGCTGGATCTTGGGGCTGTCGATAACCACCGCCGCGTCACCGAAAATGAAGTCCATCGAGCCGCCGATGTAGCAGTTTTTGTAGTACTGTCGCCCCGCGTCCACATACAGCGTATCTTGCGCTCCGTCGAACGCGCAGTTGAACAGCGCCGTTTGGTCGCCGGTCGCGCGAAACGCGACGGCTTGGTGATTTTCGGGGCCGGCCGTGTTGACGAACTTGATTCCGAACGCGACGAACCTGTTGGGTGGTTACCAGTTGGGCGTCACACGGAGTGTTACGCGGAATTAGCAGAGGACAGGAAAGTTTGAAATGCAGGTGCGGAATTGAGAAGCCGAAGGTAAAAGGGCGGGAGAGACCGGGGTAAGAGAAATTGAGATACAGCGGGGAGGGTGGCAATGTAAGAGAGGAAACTGGAAGGGCGGCATTACCTGTCGCTATCCACGCCGACAGTAGCCGACTCGAACGTGCCTGACCCGCTGCCGTAGCTCGCGTCGCCCGTGATGATCGTCTTATCCGCGCCCGCGCCAATCAAAACAATATACGTCGTTTCGATCACAATCTGCTCGTTGTACGTCCCCGGGGGAATGTAGATCACGAAGCGCTTGCCGCCGGGAGCGGCGTCGACGGCGGATTGGATCGTCTTGTATCCGGCGGATCCGACGGTGACGCTGGCTCGAAGTCTCGGGCTGGCAACCATGGGCTTGGCGTTGGGTGACGCCTTCTTGCTGGACTTACTCTTCTTGCTTGACTTGCTTGACTTGCCGCTGCTCTTGTTCCCTTTGCTGCTGCTATTCTTGTTCTTCTTGTCCTTCTTATCCTCGTCATCGTCATCATCATCATCGTCGTCTAGCTGCCTCCTCGCGAGAGCACCGCCCTCTGAATCCTCCCCGCCACTGGCGGCGAACTCGGCGTTCATCCTCGTCTGAAGCTCCTCCAGTTGCGCGTACAAGCCGGGCTCGAGCCACTCCAACGCGCCGCTTCGCGCGGATCCCGCACCGCTTGATCGGACGGCCATGCGGCGTCCGCGCACCGGCGCTACGTCCTCCTCAGTTGCGTCGGCCGACGCGGCTTTCGCGGCGGCGTTAGTGATGGCGACGAGGGCGTCGAGCGTGCTGGCCGCTTTCTTCGCCGTGTACTGCGGTTCCGGGTGCGGAGATTGGAATTCGTTAATAAAAAAGGGAACGGATACGAATCGAGAAACCGCAAGTGTGTTGCTGACGCATGTTAAGCGCAAGTTTCAAATAGCAAGGTCGAAAGATGTTCATAGTAGCTTTCGTTGTGCCCTGATTTTGCTTTTCGATTTGTTTTGGGATTGAGGTGTAAGCGGAGAGCCCCAGCACGGCGGGCGAGAAGGTCTGAAACCCGTCGACTCAGTTATTCTAGGGATAAAAGAACCTAATAACGAATCAGATAGGGCTAGTAACGAACCTCGAGATGGATGTAAGCGGGGAGGCCCTGCGCGGCGGGCGAGAAGGTCTGGAAGCCGTCGACGCAGTTGCCGACCTGCGTGTCGGCCGCCGCGAGCCAGTACGGCACGTCGGGCTGGTTCGTGCCCGCCTCGATCGCGTCCGCCGCCTGCCCCAGGTACCGGAGCGCGATGTTGGCCTGCCGCGCGCACGATTTCGCCATGGCGTTCGTGAAATGGTCGTTCCGGACATTGGACGCTTTAATCTCGTCGGCCGCCGCGATAATCGCCGTGACTTGCGCTTCGACTCCAGCGACCATTGCTGCGGTTACCTGCTCTGGCGACTGCGGGACCACGCCTAGGGATCGCCGCGCCACGCGGAATTCCGCTGCGCAGTGGGTGCGGTTGGAGGACGCGACGCACGCGTCAGGGTGCGAAATGACGAGATAATTGTCCGCCATCTGGCAGCAGGAGATGACGGCAAGCGCCAGGCCTAGCCCTGCGAACGTCCACGTGGCAACCCGTTTCATCCACGTCGTATCCATGTTCGCGAGATAAACGTTCTTGAACAGAGGCTTTTCGGGCTACGCGCAGGTCTGCAGGCTTGCCAAGAGGTAAATGTGGCTGGTAAATGTAGCTGCGAAGCTATAAAAGAGGTGAAAATATAGTGAATGTTCCTGGGGTGGCAAGCTGTGTGAGATGTAGGAGAAAACTGGTACGGTCGCTGAATGAAACTGGCGCGAATTTATGCGAGTTAGGGCTTGTGGTGAGTGTTTGTTTTCCTTCAGTATCCCACCCAACCGTTTCCGGTTATTATTTGATCCTTCTTAATCAAAATGCACCTAGCCCCACCGCAATCAAACGTGCGCTCGCCCTTGGGTTTCGCTGGGGGAATTGGGCGGTTGGGTTGGAAGTAAGGTAGGTAGGAGTCGCGAAGGTGCAACCCAGTTTAGCGCGGCTCGATTTGATGACTGGGAAATTCGAAGCGCGAGGCGCTCAGCCCTCCAACCACTGGCTAGGACGAACCGCAGCGGGGCTGATCGCCCCCGCGCAGCGCCCTGGACCAGATGGGCCCCAAAGGTCCAGCATCGTGACTGCCTGTTTCGATGAGAAAAGTTGCAGTCCGTACGTGACTCGGCTATGCGTAACTCTCAGTAAACAAAATGCTTAGCACTCCTGCAACTTTGTGCTCCCTGCAGAAGATAGTCAGAACTCACGATTGTCCATTCAGCATCTAGCTACTCGTTCTCCAACCAAATTCCCTGTACTACAGGGTTTCAGTTGGGACGGCTCACCCAAATGCGTTCAGCCTTTTCGCCCCAACTTCGAAGGATGTGGCAATGGCGAACAGGTTGAGGTGAGGCGCTGCGTGACAGGATGGTGCTTGTAACGATGCTGGGATACTGAGGGCGGTTCCAAAAGTTCGTTTTCGCAACATACCATACCCAACCGTTCTAGTTTGCTATGTGAATGCTTTGAATCGCAGCGCAAGCGAGTTAACCTTCGCCAGAAGAAACGGGACCAGCCAGCCCGTAAATATGGCAGACATCAGACGGGGATAGTTTCGCTAAAGGGGTAGTTTCCCTAAATTTCAAGAAATCAAGAGTTGTTTAAGCCCTGAACCGGGATTTTAACAGGATGGGATTTGTAGAAACTCTGAATATTTCCGACTGAATTCTCCTTGAAATCCTGATCCATTCTATGTACTATTTTCGTGAATCCTGACGAGCTATTCTCGTAGCATGGAGCTCTGTGAAGAGCCATTCCACTACTTGCTGGCGAAGATTCTCACGCCACGAATCACCAAAGGTACTTGGACGATTTAAGGCCTTGGCCAATCAGCCTAGTCATGTTCTCTGCACACATCAGGGGAGATGACTGACGCGATCTTTGGCAGCGCGTCACTCCCGTAATTTCCATTCCTTACTGAGTCGTACGTTAGCGCGTACACCCGAACTCCTCGACTCGTCACGTTCGGCCACATCTGTCGGCCCAACCCTTTCCCGCGTCGCGTCCGGCACTGTCGCCACATTGCCGAACCTACCCACGTTCTGAGTTTATCGCCCTAGCACGCCAACCCCTATATAACCTCGTTCCTTCATTGCAATAGGACCTTGTATTCGCACGTTATATTTCATTTACACTTTCTTATCATAACAGCTGGTATCAGAGCCTGACCTTTCAAGGTACCTTCCATTTTCCCGTCTACTTAGTTAAGGGTGGTCACATGGGATTAGCACAGCTGCACAGCAGTTGTCTGGGATCATAAATATTTTTACATCAACAACTACAGCGTGTGCGCTAGCTTCCGCCCCGTCCTGGCCGCCATGGCCCAAGTAGACTCGACAGTTGAGGGACAGTCCACCTCAACTGCTGCAAACCCTGCCCGAGAAACTGTAGACATTGCAAGAATTAATGGAGGAGTTGAAGAATTTCAAAAGCTTCGTCAACGACCTCCGCGACAAGAACCAGCGACTTCGCCAAGCGCAGGAGAAGAGTCCATAGGAGCTGGGCGATAATGCACGAAGCGAGGCGGGTGGGCAGCAACCGTCACCAGTGGAGCTGGCAAGACTAGCGGCAACAGCCCTGCGCTCGCAAGTGGTGGCGTAAGATATCAGTGACCCGCTCCTCTCGACCCAGCTAAAGGCGTGGAATTGCGGTAGTGGATATTCACCATGAATATATACAGTATTTTAACGCGGCGGGCATCCGAGACGATCAGAAGCGGATGAACCACGCGTTAACACTGTTGCAAGGAGCCGCCATACAGTGGTGGATGCTCATCGTCGACTCGGCGGGAACTCGCACAGAAGGACATCATGAGTGGTCCGAAGAATGCGGCGACAAAGACGAGGCAGATCTGTTGTTCGGAGCGAACCATATTCGCACGTGGGCAACGTGGTGCGTAGAGCTTCGCAAGCGGTTTGAGCATGCACCTGATTCAAACAAGGCACGCGAAACTCTACGCATATGGAAGCAGATGGGATCTGTGTACGAGTACACTGCGTCATTCCTGATGTTGGTGGACAGATGTGGCTACACGCACGAGTTGGAGAAGGTCGACAGGTGCATGGGCGGCTTGAAGCCCGAAATACAGTACCAGATAAAATTGCAACGCCCTGTGAAGCAGTTACAAGACCACATCTAGCTCGCCTAAGCCGTTGATTCGATCACGAAGTCAAGGACGGACTTCTACGACGAAGGTCGCCCTCGAGAACAATACCAGTGCGCCATGATAAAAGGGGTGGACGTAGTTGCTCTGCGAAATACGTGGCTATGCTACCACTGTGGCTGGCCGGTTCACATCCAACGCAACTGCAAGAATTCATAGCCCTCCTGAATTCTATGGGGAAAAGGCCGGAGGAGCGACCGGGAAATGGGTCACGTCAGTAAGTACCGGGCCCCTTATTGACGAGCAGGCTTCTTCGCCCAAGCCACCCAGTCCCCACCGGGTCGTGATCCCGATTGCTGCAATCAACCGGACCCGGACGAATAAGGGGGACGAAACTGCTGATCATCCTGTATTGGTGGAGGGTAAAGTCAACGGGGTGTTATTGAAGATATTCGTTGATAAAGGCGCGAGTCATAGTCTCATACAACTGGACACGGCTAGGAAATCGGTAATACCCTTACTCAAGTGTTTACCTAAAATCGACGCCCGCCTGGTGGACGGAACACCGCTGGCAATACGGGAACGGGTGGAGAACGTTGGTTTTACGTGTGGGGAGCATGCAAAATTTCGGCTGGGACTACTAGCGACTACTCTCGACGGGTGCGATGTGCGGCTGGGACGTGATTGGTTGCGATGGTACAACCCGAAGATTGACTGGACGACGGGCGGATGTAGCATCAAGCTCGATGGGATTTCCCGCGAGCTGCCCAAGTGGACGGGGCCTCGCATGCGAAGTACCCAAGTCCATGCGATCACCTTCAAGCGCGCGATGAAAGCTGGAGCTGCAGCGTACGTCGTTGATCTTCGCGATGTGGCATCGACGGTCGAGAACAAAGATATTGAGAAGCTATGCAAAGGCCGTCCCTTCGGACTTAGCGGGCCTGATTCGGCAATACCCGGAGATTTTCCCGGACGATCTGCAAGCTGGACTCCCGCCGAGCAGACCTGAGGACCACCGCATCGAGCTGGAACCAGGCGCCCAATCGACGGTATAGCGCCAATTTCGGCTCAGCAAAAAAGAACTGGAAGAATTACACCAGCAGCTGGATTACCTTCTCACAAAAGGCTTTATCCGACCTAGCACATCACCTTACGCCGCCCCAATATTGTTCACCATCAAGTCGCGTTACCCAATTCCGCGAGCCGACGAACATTTCGACCAACTTTGCGGCGCCAAGTTTTTCTCGAATATTGATTTGCAAGGGGGTTACCATCAGATTCGCGTTGCCGCCGACGATTGTCACAAGACAGCATTTCGAACCCGATACGGCAGCTACGAGTACTTGGTGATGCCTTTCGGCCTCATGAACGCTCCCTCGACCTTCCAAATGACCATGAATGGAATTTTCAGGGAACTCTTAGCTAGAGCTGGAATTTCTGGGCCACATCATCTTTACCGAGGGAGTGAAAATATACCCCAAGAAAATCAAGAACATACGAGAATGGAAGCCGCCAAGCACCATCAAGGAGCTGCGGACTTTTTTGGGCTTCGTCAATTACGTCCGCCGACTTATCCCTAATATGGTTGGGTTATCTTCCTCGCTAACTGACCAACTCAAGGATCATGCTTATTTTTGGTGGGGAGAGAAGCAGCAAGCTGCATCTGACCAACTAAAGATCGCCCGTCCTTCGCATCTCCGATCCTGACCGTCTATATGAAAACATTATCGACACCAGCGACATCGCCATCGGCGCAGCTCCCCAACAGGATTTTGGCGACGGATCACAGCCAGACGCCTACGAATCACGGAAGCTGCAGGGTGCAGAGAAAAATTATACGATACACGACAAGGAAATATTGGCGATCGTCCACGCGTTCAAGACGTGGCGGTGCTACCTGACAGACGCTGACATCACTGTGCAGATCGACACAAATCCCTCCAGTACTTGCGAGCCCAACCGAACCTTAACCGGCGATAGATCCGATGGCTCGATTTCCTCGAGTCAAACTTCCACTACACCATCACCTACATGCGGGGTGCCAACAACATTGCCGATGCCCTGACGGATAGGCAACCCTGGCGACACCACCATGCTACAGGTTTGGGGCTCCATGGTTCAATATCGCCCTCACCAAGCTATAGTACTACTCAAAAATTCAAGTAGCGTGCTCGATGGGGAGTCCACGTAGAAATCTTTTGGGAGTACAAGGCATGGACAATCATGGGCTTCGAAGATTCCAAGAGTGTCCCTTCTCGCAACATCCTCTTCTACGAGGGCCTTACCCTAAAGAAGTTCTGCCAGGACCATTTCAGGAGCAGGGAAGTCGCCTACACCCAGGACTGGACATAGCTTTGCCTTAGCTGAGGATGAAGCCACAGCCGCACGACTAGATCTCAATCCTCCTGGCGAGGGGTGAACCCACTTCAACGATAATGATAACGATGATGACGTACCACTCGACCTCTCCTGCGATACACTACGACGTGAAGGCATTGTCGACACGCTCGTCGACTAGCTAGGACAACGACATTCAAGAAGTCACCAACCCCATGACTCGAAACCCCAGCCTCTTAGGTCTCAACATCCTCGCACTTCACGCTGTCGTACACAAGAAAACCACGGTGATCGAGCCCACGGCACCTCGCCAGGCTCTCACTGGACCTCACCGCACGGAATGACGTAAGGCCATGGATGCCGAGCTCACCGCGCTTCACTCCCGCAACACCTAGGTCCTGGTGGACATGTATTAGTGAAGGGGAGGAAGACTTTGTCTGGGAAGTCGGTCTACCGCGTCAAGGCCAAGACGAACGGAGACATCGAGTGCTACAAGGCACGATGAGTAGTGAGAGGATAAGACTAATGCTACGGCATTGACTTCGACGTAACCTTAGCCCTAGTCAGTCGACATACCACGATACGCATTCACTTTGCCGTCGCGACATGCAAGCACCTTGGGCTGCGGTAGATCTAAGCTAAGAGCGCGTTCCCTTACGCGTAAGCTGACGAACTGATCTTCGTCAAACATCCTCATGCCTACGGGAGGGAGACCCGCGCGTATGCCAGCTGCAGAAATCCCTCTATGGGATAAACAGGCATCGTGCCTCTGGCAGCAACCCTTGCATGTCATTCACCTCGCTATCAACTTCATCTAGCTGCCCCACGATTCAGATATGTATCGCCTACACTTCCACGGTGACTACATCCTCCTTACAGTCTACATCGAGAATCTCCTCTATGCCAGCACAAACACCGTCCTTCTTGATCAATTCGAAAGAAATCTGGGGTAGCGCGTTGACATTGCCACCTCCAAGACCGTGACTCAGTCCTTGGAACTCAACATCTCCTACACGCCCGACGCCATTCATCTCTCCGCGTCCAAATACGCCAAGATCATCTCCGCATCTCTCTCCACTCCCTACCGCACGCCTGCTGCGGGCTACAAGCCCGATACCAAGGTACTCACTCTTTCTGGGCACCAGTTCTACCAATAGCAACTCGGTTGCTTACTCTTCGCCACAGGCATCTGCCGCCCCGACCTCTCCTACATTGTCAGCCAGCTGCCCTAGTCTTCTCGGTGCCATGAAAGGGAGAACCTACTTGATATACAATGGGCTCTCTTATAATTCATCCCGACCCCCAACATCCGCCTCACCTACTCCACTATTATTACACCATCATTTCAACTCACCGGCTATATCGACGCCGACCACGCCGCCGATCCCGCTAATCGTCGCTCCCGCACATGCTTTCCTTTTTGCCAAGAGCCAATCACATAGAATTCTTAGAATCAGGAGTTGGTTGCTCTCTTTTCGGCTGAAGCTGGGTACGTTGCCACAACCTCTTCTGTTCGCAAAGGACACTACCTGTTCAAGAGCTGCTATAAGAAGTGAAACTCAGCTTGCCGCCAACCTTCAAGTTAATGTACACAGCGACAACCAGAGAGCGATAAAAATCGCCAACAGGCGTGGCTTCATGAACATATTGCTCTGCGATGTTTTTTCTCAAGGACGACAACAGCAAGGTGGACCTGACCGACTGCCCCACTCGTAACATGACAGCTGACTTACTCATCAAGAATGTGCTACGACACCAGTACAAGCACTGCACCGAGCTCTGTGGAATCACCAAGCGCGCTAAGCTTGAACACCTTCAGGTTTAAAGGGGAGTGCTACGATAAGGAATTATCTTATACACTCCTGAAAGTAACGCTTGGCCTGTAACACCCTCGTGCGTGCTACATAACCTCTACTAGGTATTGTACGTGCCTATGTCGAGTTGCGAAGTGCAATGGTCGTTGACCGTCTCAGCCGTCAGATGTCCAAGAGTCTGACGTGACAGCAAGGACAAATAATTGATCCAGTCTTACAGCATGGGCCGTTACCTGAGTTAGATCTGGGTTCCTAGGGAATGTATCACTGTGAAGTACATTGTTAGCCAGACTCTTCACATTCTCTGGTACCAATATATACGCATTGTATCTCCTTTGCTATAATCATCTTGTTACGTTATATTCACTCTGACAGGGTCATCGACCAATCACAAACGCTTATGCAAAGAGCCCTATATCTAGTGTTCAATTCATACGATCCCACGGCCTCTTTGTTATCGCCTCATATAGGAAATCTGATATGACGTGCCGCTTTTATATAATCGAGTTATGCAGTGGCGACAAGTGATGCTAAAATCGGCTGAGGAGCCAGACACAATGTTGCGGAGCCTGAGCTCCATCAAATCAAGTAATGTATCACGTTGACATCATCGGATTGTGCAAAGGATACGTAGGCAGAGATAGTCATTTGTGAACTAGTGACATCAGTGGGTACTCTCTTTGTTCCTGTACAAGCTGCTACAATTGGTCACTCTCATCTGCATGTCTTATCAACGTACTACTCCGTGCAATGAACGATGCTCCAAGCGTTTCCCGCGGCCTTGGTGCAGACTCTTGAATTCCTACTTGTTCGAGCTTCCTTTATCATTAACTCTTCTTTAAAATCTCCCCCCCCCCCCCCTGCCTCATGCGCTAATCATTGATGCTTCTTTCCTATGCACTCAAATCACCTCTCTTTTGGTTCCCCTTTTGCCTCTTTTTTGCCGAACTTCGTCTCTTTTGGATCATTCAGCCCAACAGGGTGGAACGAGGGTGGCTGCATGTGGCAGCAAGGAGCAAAATTGTCGAGCACGAACTAGGTCGACCCTCGGATCATCTTGAACTTGTGGCTCACCATGGCTTGAACGGTTGGATCGACTCGTTACTGTGGTGCGCAGTGTCATTAGGATTGGTATGACTTGTTAGGGCGTGTTCTAAGCGCATGAATGGGGTGCCAACCAATACGAATTCTAATAGTATGTGATTTAGGACACCTGCTACATTTGTTTTGCACCATAGTGTATAGCCTGCACTAGCAATTTCACATAGTAGTAGTGGCTGGACCGTCAAGCCATGTATTTACTGTACAAGACATCACCAATACCCCCCTGTTTACTGCCACTCACATCGTAGTGGTACGTATGAATCCTGCCTACGAGAGACAGCTGCCCCAGAGGCATGCTTGCGTCACCTGCTGCTGCTGCAGCTATTGCTTCTGCATAGGGGAAAATAGGAGCACTAGGAGCAAGCCCACTATTACCATAGGCAGCGCAGCAGCACCAGCTAGTCCACACAAGCAGTAGCACCAGCAACATAACCATCAAAAGAAGACGAGCACATAGAAGCTACTGCATAGAGAGCAAAAGTGCTGGTAGAAATAGTGGCATGAGGGAGGAGAAAGAAGAGGAATTGAAGGAGGAGGAAAAGGTTGCGGTGGTGTCTTCTTAGGAGTAATAGAGGTCACCTATGAACTCGTTCGAGAGGATTCGGACGCCTACGATTGGCAGGGGGAAGTCAAAATAGAGAGGGGTGTTTGGGCAGGTAGCAGGCATAATACATTCCGCTATGGCGGTGGCACGGCGAAAGGAGTCCTGAAGTGGGGGGAGCCAAAAGGGGGTTGGGTGGGCGGAAGGAGTGGAGGGTTACAAGTGGGAAGGAATTCGAAGGGGTTGGGGGAGATGGCATGGGGTTGGGGGGATGGAAGGAGGGGGAGAAGGGTATGTAAAATTTGCACACTCCTTTGCGCACATGCCGATCCGATACCCAGAGAAAAAAAGGGATGACGAATGTGCACCCATACATCCATGAACTCGCCCCGCACCGCCCGAGCCAGCAGCATGCTGTCAGGTGCCCCGGGAAGTGAAAAAAAAATTCTGTTGGAACGGTCCAATGGGAGCATGTCTAGGCGGATATTAGAGACGAGTGGAGAGCTGAAGTTAGAGAATACTCCATTCACACTCTAACTTTCTATACATTACGAGATTCAACCCTAGAAAACTCATATACACAAAATTTACAATGATAAATTGCATAACACATGAGGAACGAGGAAATTTAGTGCGTTGTTAGCGAGGAATATACCACATGGCAAGCTGTATGGAAAGTAGTATAACCACACAGGGATAGGTTAGTATCGCGGTGTGCCTCATAAAACATTCGCCACAATCCATTACTGCCTCAGACATCAGAAAGTCATCTCAATCGTTTGTGGAACTTTCGTTGCTCTACGAGGCAGTAACGACCAGTCGACACGACAAGCCATCAGTTTCTCGGTCTCGGAACAAATTGAAGCCATCAGCGAAGTTCACACTATCGAATGCGACGCCAAGGAACCGTCGAGGCTGGAAAGGGGCGCTGGGGAATGCGGGGCAAGATTGGTTGACGACGACATCTAACGAAAGCCGTAAGCGATGGCGAAAAATGTTCATCTCGTGACACTTCTCCCTAAAACTTTCGCCAGCCACCTTATGAGGGTAACACAGGGGGGAGGCTGACCATTCACTGATCACTTGCACCCCCTACTCTCTGTAGTCACGCGTCGGGGCCGCCAATTTTGCGGTTTCGGCCAATAGGAAGTAACAGCGCCGCGTCGTTTCCGAAACACCACGCTATTCCGAGCCGCGATAAGACCCCCAAACGACCAGCATTCCAACATAAATTAGCCCCTGATACGCAACTGCTCAAACCAAGTATTCTAGTATCTGCTTATTTGAAGTAGGTGATCCTCGCTGTCGCCCTTCCACCTGCCTATATCTCCTATCTCGTTTTTCTGCTTCGCATACGAGCTGGGTTTCTCACCTCCCAGCTTACCTCCCTCGCCGTGCAAAAGTTCCTGCTCTATTTTCCCACTATGACGTTGGCAAAACGCGCTGCCACGCTGGCCCTAGCGGGCATCGGCGTGGCGTTCGCCATCGTCTCGTGCTGCTACATGGCCGACAATTACCTCGTCATCTCGCACCCCACGCTCTGCGGTGGCGTCTCGAACGGGACTCTCTGCTCCGAGGAGTTCCGCGCCGCTCGCCGCCAGCTCGGCGTGCTGCCTCAGGCGGCGGACAGAGTCACCGCCGCGATGGTTTCCACCGTGGCGATTCAGGTCCGCGCGATTATCGCCACCGCGGCGGAGATTAAGCGCGCCAACGTGCGGCAGAACCACTTCGTGAACGTCGTCGCGGACGACTGCAGCACGCAGGGCGGCATCGCGCTGCGGTATCTGGGCCGCACGATGGACGCGATCAACTCCAACAGCCAGCACCATGACCGCGCGTTCTGGCTGTCCGCCGCCAGCACGCAAGTTGGCAACTGCGTGGATGGATTCAAGTCGCTCGCGCCCTCCGCCACGTTCCAACCCGCCTTCGTGCATCTCGAGGTAATCCCCCGCTTTCTCCCTCCCCCACCCTTCCCTCCTCCTCACCTCCCCCCTTTCCTCCCCAAATGTTGTTTAGCTTTCCCCCTCGATCCCTCCACCACAATCCGTCCCGCTTTCGTGCATCTCGAAGTAAGTAACTGTCTCACGATTCGCGCGTACGCTATCCGTATTCTATCAATTTTACCAGGAACAACGACCTTATCCGAAAGGACCCCGTATTAAACTTCAACCACCGGCCATCCTAACATTTGTTGTGTACACTTTCTTCCCGTCGCAAATGCAGACTGTCGCTAACAAGGCTAGCGACACGCTGGAAGCCGTCGTCGCCATCGCCAAGAAGGCTGCGCCAGCCCCTGCGACAAACACCGGCCTTGGAGGCCTCTTTCCCAAGTTCGGTCGCAAACTTGCGTCGCCCGAGTCCACAACCGTCGCAGGAGGCATGAAGTGGCTGGACGATGACTTCGTCGCACAGTTGCGACAGCTGCAGGCGGAGCTGAACGCCCTGGGCGACGACGTTCACGAGCACGTCGCACGGCGACAGCTGCACCACCGGCATCATGATAACAACGACAAGCAAGATAAGAAGAATAAGGATAGCGGCAGCAGCGGTAGCAGCAGCAAGAGCAGCAAGAACAAGGGCGGGAAATCTAAGGGCAGCAAGGGCAGCAACGCGAAACCAACCTCGGGGCCCATTATTGCAAGCAAGGGGCTTCGTGCGAACGCCGTCGTGAAAGGGTCGATCCAAGACGCCGTCGACGCCGCACCCGGTGGCAACCGCTACGTGATCTACGTTCCCGCCGGCACCTACAAGGAGCAGGTCGTTGTAGATACGCCCGATATTATCCTTATCGGGGCGGGGGCGGGCTCTACAGTGGTCACGTACGATGAGAGCTACGGCAGCGGGTCGAGCACGTTCGATTCGGCTACGTTCGGCGTGAACAGTGACCGGTTTGTCGTGTTCGGGATGAAATTTGTCAACACTGCCGGCCCAGACAACCACCAGGCTGTAGCGTTCCGCTCTACGGGCGACCAGTCGGCGGCGATCGACTGTTCGTTCGAGGGCTCGCAAGATACATTGTACGTGGACGCGGGTCGGCAGTACTACAAGAACTGCTACATCGGCGGGACTCAGGACTTCATTTTCGGCGACGCGGCGGCGGTGATCGAAAACGCGAAGATTCAGCTACATCCGAGCTCGTCCTTCATCACCCTCACGGCGTCGGGTCGCGCCAAGGACACGCCGACGGGGATCGTGATCCGCGACTCGGTGGTGAGCGCGGATAAGGGTGCGGCGAAGGCGTTCCTCGGGCGGCCGTGGAAGAAGTGCGCCTTCACTGTCTTCGTGAACACCGTGCTGCCCGCCGTAAGTGCCGGCATTCGAACACCGTTCTTTTGTTAGCCTTTTGTTGCTAGCACATGCTTTTTGTCAACACCGTGCTGCTGTGTTGCTCGAGTCCATCTCATGCAACCTATCCTGCTCTGTTTCCAAATCCCCTATCTTCCAGTCCCTGTCGCATGCTAATTATATGTGCTGCCCTCTCCCTAGTCCACCACGGCTCTCGCAGCTCATTCTCTCCGCCTGCTATTCGCTTTGCATTTCGCATCTCTTTCGCCTCTTTCGCCATTTGCAGGTTATTCAGCCCGACGGGTGGTTGTCGTGGAACGAGGGCAGCTGCATGTTCCTCGCCGAGTCGGGCAGCAAAGGGCCCGGCGCAAAATCGTCCCGTGCGGACTGGGTCGACCCTGGGATCATCTCGAGCGCGTCACAATACACCGCCAGCAGTTTCGCCGAGGTCAACTCGTGGCTCACCCTCGCGTGAACGGAGTCGATCCACTCGTTACTGTAGCGGAAATGATTTTTGACGAGGCATGGCTTGAGCTGGCCCTGCCATGCTGGGCGAACCAACTTTCTGAGGTCTAGAGGTAGTTATGGCGCGTTTCGAGCTTGTGATTCAGGCGCTAACCTGTTGTAGGTTTGATCTGTTCCTATTGTTAGATGATTAAGACACCTTCCTCGTTTTCTATGCTTAGGTGGTGTTTCAAGTCATCAATATATGGCATGCATTAGCAATGTTACGCTGTAACAATGCCTGGACCCATGACATATATTCACGAGACATCACCAGTTGTCCTAGCAGCAATCTCACACGCACCCCTATCAGCTGCGACCACATGCCATCTAGCCAGTAGCAGTGTAGATGGCATGGTCTACAACCATGGTCGCGTGTCAGCTGCAGGAGTGAAGCAGAAAGCCTTGGCAAGGTATGCCATGCTGAGTTAAGCAGTACCGCCACCCCTTCTCACTCCCTCACACGCCTGCAAGCTGCGACCACCCTGCCATGTCAGCTGAAGGAGCGTAGCGGTAGGCGCGAATTCGGCCAGCCAGAGATAGCTGCCCCAGAGGCACATCTATGTCACCTGCTGCTGCTGCTGCTGCTGCTGCAGTTCCCCCAGTCCCGCATACGCCTGCAAGCTGCGACCACCTTGCCATGTCAGCCGCAGGAGCGCAGCGGTGGTAGATGTCACTACAACACACCAGCTGTGGTGTTGGGGTGAACCTAACCTACACGCCCCCCCATCCACCACCTGTGTCTCACACCCCCGCCAGCTGTGACCACCCTGCCATGTCAGCTGCAGGAGCGTAGCGGTAAGCGCGAATTCGGCCAGCCAGGGATAGCTGCCCCATAGGCACGTCTATGTCACCTGCTGCTGCTGCTGCTGCTGCTTCTGCAGTATACGCAGTAGCAGCAGCAGGAGCAAACCCAGGAGTACCATAGGCACCAGCAGCAGCAAGACCACCAGTAGCAGCAGCACCAGACGCAGCACCACCACCACCGAAAGCAGATGAGAACATGGCTGCTGCTGCAGAGGTGGCAGAAGTGGTAGAGGAACCAGTGGCAGGGGAGGGGGAGGAGGAAGAGGACGAAGTGGAGGAAGAGGAGGTGGAAGTGGTGGTGTCTTCCCTAGAGGAAAAGAGGTCGCCTATGAGCTCGATGGAAAGGATTCGGACGCCAGCGATTGGCCGGGAGAAGTCGAAATAGAGAGGCGTGTTTGGGCGGGCAGCGGGCAGAATAAATTCCGTGATGGTGGTGGCAGGGCCAAAGGAGTCCTGAAGAGGGGGGGGGGAAGAAGGAAGAGGGGGGGGCAAAGAGCGGGTTGGGGGAGGTGTGGGTGGCGGGGGCGGGGTAGAGGGGGAGTGGGGAGTTTACAAAAGAGAGGGATTGCACAGAGTTGGGGGAGATTGCAAGGGATTGGGATGAAATGGCAGGAGGAGGAGGAAAGACGCATTGTCGCACCCCTCTTTTGAGGCGCCTCAAAAGGAGGAAAGACGCATTGTCGCACCCCTCTTTCGAGACGCCTCAAAAGGAGGAAAGACGCATTGTCGCACCCCTCTTTTGAGGCGCCACAGAAGGAGGGAAGACGCATTGTCGCACCCCTCTATGCCATGGAGAGAAGGAGACTTTTCAGTAAACTCAAAAGTCACCTGATGAAATGGCAGGAGGAGGAGGAGGAACGATGCATTGTCGCACCCCTCTATGCCATGGAGAGAAAGAACACCCACCTGTCGGGCCGAAACCCTGAGCCGGAAAGGGACGACGAACACCGCCCATTCGTCCATGAGCCCGCCCCGCGCCGCCCGAGCCAGGGGCCCGCCTTCAGTTGCCCCGGGCAGAGAAAGAAACATTCCGGCGGAACGGTCCAATGGGAGCGCGTCTAGGCGGATGCCCGAGATGGGAGGCGAGGAGAGCGGCAAGAGAAGTTCGAGGATCCTTCCTCCTGCCCACACTCTCTCACCTTCCACAGGCGTCTGAGAGGGGGGGTGGGGGGATGACAGGGAGAGGAGAGGAGTAAGGGGGAGTGCGGAGGTGAATGCCCGAGATGGGAGGAGAGGAGAGAGGAAAGAGAGAGGGGGTGGGGGGTGGGAGAGGTAATGACAGGGAGAGAGGAGGAGTGGGGGGGAGTGCTGAGGTATGGCCGTGATAGGAGGAAAGGAGAGGGGCAGGAGGCGGTCCAAAAATAGCCCCGTGCCCACACACTCTTCCCCTTTACTGGATTATGAGGGGGATATGGACAAGGAACAAAGTTTTGAGGCGGCTCAAAACAAAATTAGCCCCGTGCCCGCACACTCTGCCCCTTTCGTTGGACTCTGAGGGGTTTTGGACAAGAAAAATAGCCCGAAACCAGTGAGTGTAGGTGGTGTGTGTTGGGAGGGAGAGGGGGGCGTAGGCGTGTTAAAGGTCAATGCCAAGATAGGAGGCCGTGGGGAGGAGAGGGGGGAGAGAGGCCGTGGGGAGGAGAGGGGGGAGGGAGGCCGTGGGGTGGAGAACCAAAGAAAATGTATACTGCTCACATGAGGAATTCAGGAGGCTCGAAGCTTTTAGCTCCCATGTATACTGCTATCAGCATTTCTGATCTGCTGCCTCCCACAACCCACGCCCTGATCCGCCAAACAGGTATGAATAAACGGATATTTATATATACATATGCATATACATATATATATATATACACACATATATATGTATATATATATATATGTACATATAACAAGAAAGAACCTCTGACACGTACCCTCGATCTGCTCATTCGCACAGGAGCCTCCAGAAACTGCTGATACTCCCAACGACTGCCCATGCCACCAGCAGCAGCACCACCAGCAGCAGCACCACCAGCAGCAACACTAGAGGCACCACCACCACCACCACCACCACCACCACCACCACCACCACCACCGACCACTGCTCCCATGGGCACTGCAGCTGCTTCTCTGCCAAATGGCACCGCACCGGACGACACAGGGCCCATCACATCGTCAAATATTTTCTGCCCGTAAACGCGAATCCTGCGAGCCCAGATGCCTGAGGCTGCTGCGCCGGGCTGGCGGGTTTCGGGCAGGAGAAATTTCAGCCAGACGATCCGGCAGGAGATGGCTTTGGGGAGGGCGTAGGATAAGATCAGCTCGGAGTCTGGATTTGATTCGCTGGGATTTGATTTGGTGTTGGACAAGGCGGCAGCTGCAGCGGAAGGGAGGTCCCAGAGACCCACGGAGGTGCGCTCTGATTGGTCGATGGTGGTGCTGAGAGATATTCGGACCTGCTAGCAATAAGAGGAAGACGGAGGGAGGGGGTCTATCTTGAGTCTTAAAAAAAAACATCCTGAGTTTTGAGTCGACTCAAAGGGCACCTTGGTCGATGGAGGTGCGGAGAGACATGCTGACCTGAAAAAAGAGGGGGACGAAACGAAGCGAGTCAATCTTGAGTCAACTCGGAAATTTTCAGGTGAGTTTTGAGTCGACTAAAAAATCAGCTTGGTCGATGGTAGCAATGTTTGGCGTGTGACGGGCAGTAATGATGTGAGGGGACTTGCCTGGGGGAAAAGCGCGATGGATAATGGCAGAGGATGGTGCTAGCGCAGTGCTTGCAGTACTTGCCTTGGGGGAGGGAGACCTGCGGGTCCCTCTGTGGGTTTCCCCAGTGCGGTGCGCACCGCGGTGTGCAGCGCGGTGCGCAGCGTGGTGCGCATTACGGTGCGCAGCGTGGTGTGCAGTGCGGAGCGCAGCGTGGTACGCATTACGGTGCGCATCGTGGTACGCATTACGGTGCGCAGCGTGGTACGCATTACGGTGCGCAGCGTGGTACGCATTACGGTGCGCATCGTGGTACGCATTACGGTGCGCAGCGTGGTACGCATTACGGTGCGCAGCATGGTACGCATTACGGTGCGCAGCGTGGTACGCATTACGGTGACGGCAGTGTAGGAGAGCAGGAAGGTAGTGCAGTGCGGGACTTGCCTTGGGGGAGTAGTGCGGCGTGTACTGTGGCGTTTGGCGTGGAGAGCACGATAGCCAATGACAGGGAGCATTGCCCACTCAGATGGATAATGATGGATAGCGTGGATTCCTACGATGCTAGTGCAGTGCGGGACTTGCCTTGGGGGAGTAGTGCGGCGTGTACTGTGGCAACCCCGAATGCACAACGATGCGAGACACAAGTGCGGGCGTGGAGAGCACGACAGCAATCTCCACCGCACTCAGATCGCTGGGGGCCCGCCAAATGGAGGAGAGGGGAGACGTAGAAGGGGGGGAGGGAGGGAGAAGCAGCGAGGTTGCGGGTGCTCCTGACGAGCACGTGGGGACCTGGGCGAAGGGGAGAAGGGAAAAGGGACACAAGGGAGACAAGGGTGAGAGAGAAGCACGGGCGTGGAGAGCACGATAGAGATCTCCACCGCACTCAGATCACTGGGAGCCCGCCAGACAGAGGAAAGAGGGGAGCCACCGGTGCATGCAGGGAGAAGCAGCGGGGCTGCGGGTGGGGACCTGAGCGAAGGGGAGAAGGGAAAAGGGACACAAGGGAGACAAGGGCGGGAGAGAAGCACGGGCGTGGAGAGCACGATTGCGATCTCCACTGCGCTCAGACTGCTGGGAGCCCGCCAGGTGGGGGAGAGGGGAGAGGGAGCGGCCGAAGCGGAGGCCGGGAGAAGGAGTGCGCTGGCAGGCGCTCCTGATGGGCACGTGGGGACCTGGGGGGAGAGGGGAGGGGGGCAAGGGAGGGGATGTCGGGAAGAGGGAAAGGGGGCAAGGGCGGGCGTGGAGAGCACGATTGCCATCTCCACTGCACTGTGAGGCTGGATGAGATCCGGATGGGCCGGCGTGTGGCAGCTCTGCCAGAGACATTTCTTCCTCCCTCTCACCCATGTACAGAGAACGAATACCAATGAAAAAAAATCCCTACCTTAGGTTACCCGATCCAAAGGCAAACATTTTTTAGGCGCCTCAAAAATAGACTCCTACCGAGAACAGCAGGCTGACATGTGGCAGCTCTGCCAGAGACATCTCTTCCTCCCTCTCCCCCGCATACCCTCCCCTCGACATCACAGGAACTACCGGAGCCTCCTGCCTCTCTCTCCCATCCCCCCCTCTTCTCCTCTCCCTCCATTCTCTCCCTTCACTTGCCTCCCCCCCAACACCCCCATCGTTTTCTCCCCCACTCCAACCGTCCAAACCAGAACAACCCCAGTCCCGAGCCTCCGCCACAGCTCTCCCGAGCCTGTCTCGCCGGCGCCGAGCCTGCAGCTGGCGCAGCCGGTGCAGGAGCACAGCATTGGTAACAGCAGGCGGGCAGCACTCCCTGCAGATCGGGGCATCCAAAGGCCCGGGCCTCCCTGGCCCTTCCACTACTCCTCCTACCCCTTCCCCCCCTCCTCCTCCTAAACCCACTCCACCCATACCACCCGAACCCCCTCCTCCTCCTCCTCCTCCTCCTGCTCCCTTTCCTGGCATTTTCCACACTCCTAAACCTCCTGCTGAGGCTAAACCGGCAAGGGAGTTAGCTGAGCCGCTTTTAATGACGGTACTAATGCTGCCACCGCTGATGCCACCACTGCTGCTGCTGATGCTGTTGCTGCTGATGCTACGGGTGCCACTCCCGCCGCCGGCGATGCTACCGCCGCTACCAGCCCCGGCAAGGTAGCCGCTTCCCGGAGCTTCCAGACAGGCTCGGCAGACGCGCCTACGGCACCAGCTGCAGGCTGGGAGGCCCCGCCGAACCTCCATGTCCACATCTTCCGAACCACCGTCAGAGGTCCGATCACTTCGCTGTCCACTTCTGCTGCTACTGCTGCTGCTTTTGCCACTGCTCCTACCATTGTTACCGCTACCAGCAGCAGCAGCAGCAGCAGCATCACCCCCCCCTTCTGCACAGAATCTGACGTCACAGTTCGGCCCGATACAAGCCATTGCAGGAGAGTTACACCCCCAGCCGGTATAACGCCCCTTAGGAGCCCAAACATGCGCACACTGGCTGTCCTTTATCTCGTCTTCCAACAATCCGTTTCCCCCCCACCAGTCACCCCTCCGACTGCTCTCAGAACCACCTCCTTCCCCCCCCTCCCTGAACCCCAAGGACCCTATCTCCACATCCTCCCTTGCTGTGAGACGCGCAGATGCCAGGCTGGCTGCCAGCTGGCGGCACTGCAGCGCCTCGGCGGTATTCAGGAGGGCGTTGGGGTCCAGGCTGGGCGGCCGAGAGGAGAGGAGGGCTGCGAGGACGGCGTCTCTTTGTGCGGCAGAGAGGGAGAGACGCAGGCGAGCGATTTCCAGCTCCATGGCTGTTGGGAAGTCAATGGGAGAGGACTGGAAGGGGAGACAAGGGGAAAGGGAGGGGGAAGTGAGTGCGGTTGGGAATGGGAAGCAAGCCATTCCAAACTCCAATGCTGCTGGGAGGCCGATCGAAGCGGACTGGAAGGGACAGATTGGGGGAGAGGGGGGAGGGGAGGAAAGGGGGGGGAGAGGAGGACAGAAGGGCCTGTCTAATACGAAGGACCATTCAGGAGAGGAGGACAGAAGGGCCAAGAAAGGATAAATAGCAGAATTGGGATTGCAGTAAATGGGAGTAAGTTCTGATGTTCTCACAGCACACACCTTCTTGGGCAGAAAAACGTTTCGGATGAGCTGCCCGAAAGCGGCAGCACCCCACTGCTCACAAACGTCCTCACTGACCGCCTGGGCTATTCTCCTTACTCTCTCCACCACCTCCTCCTCCCTCTCCACCCCCCCCTCCCCTTCTCCTCCTCCTCCCCTCTCGGCTTCACCTTCTCTTGCTCCTACTTGTGTTGCTGATTCGGTTGCAGCAATTGCTGCACCGGGACCCCCTGCTGTTCCTGCAACTGCTCCTGCAGCTGCCCCCGCAGCCACTCCTACTGCTCTTCCTAAGCCTGATGCAGTTGCGGCAGCTATCGGTGCTTGTGCATGCATCCCCCCTACAGCCGTGCCTGGTAGGGACTCCCGCTCTGGACTGTGACGCGGGGACGACGAGTCAGCGTCGGGCGGTTCCATGAGAGGGTGCCACGTGGTAGCTGCTGGTTGGCTGACTGCTGGGGGATTGAACGACGCCCACTCTACAGCACCAGCAGCAGGAGGCGCAGCAGCAGGAGCAGAGCCAATAGCGGGTGCAGCAGCAGCAGTTGCCGGAGCGGCAGCGGTGGTGGCAGGGGCAGCTGCTGCTGCTGTTGCTGCCGCTGTTTCTCCGCGCCCACTTCTTACAGTTGTTCCAATTGTTCCCATTGCAGACAGCCCGTCGCCGCCTCCAGAAGCTGCGCTTGGTGCATCAAACGACATCCAACCACCAGGCTGGTCACCACCACCGCCACCGCCGCCGCTGCTGCTGCTGCTGCTGCAGTTGCTGCTCAGAGCGGTGCCACTAAAGCCCGTGCTACTAAACGCCGTGCTTGTAGAAGCTGTGCTTGTAGAAGTTGTGCTTGTAGAAGTTGTGCTTGTAGAAGCTGTGCTTGTATCGAATGACTCCCACCCCCCTGGCTGACTGGTGCTATTAGCAGCAACGGCAGTGGCAGCACCATTGCTGCGGCGGCTGCTGCTGGCTTGGAACCCTGCACTATCAAAGGACTCCCACCCACCTGGTTGGCTACCACCTACCCCTGCCGCTGCTGCAGTTGCTCCTCCTGACGTTGTTGCTCCTGTTGTTTTTGCCCCTCTCCCCTCTCCATTCGCACCCATGCTTAGCCCTCCTACCAAACCTACCAGATCAGCCTCGGCAGCAGATCCCAGGGCTGCAGAACCAGGTGCGGACGCAGGCTCGGCAAAAGGATTGGTAGAAGCCAAAGGGTCGGCAAATCCAGAACCGAACGGATCAACCTGGCCAGTTGTACCTGCACCAGAAGCAGACAACGGCCCAAAGGGATCGAAACTTGCAGTAGAAGCACCAGAAGCAGCAGCAGGGGCAGCGGCAGCCGGAGGGATTGAAACCCAACCACTGGAAGTCAAGTCACCCGTGAAGCTCCCAGCACCAGCAGCAGCAATGGCAGGTGCAAATGGGTCAGCAGTGGAACCTGTTGCAGTGGTGGCAGAGGTGGTGCCTGTGATTCTGCTCGTGGTTGTAGTGAACATGCTTGTAACGGGTGCAGAGAAGAGGTCATCCATGAGATTTCCTGAGCCCGAACCTGTTGCTTCCATAGCCTGCATCATGCGGTTCGGCGAGCTCATCAGGTCAGGAACCAGGCTCGGCACTGCCGAACCTGATGGTGCCAAACCTGGTGGTCTTGAGCCTGGCTCATCAAACGGCTGGAAATCGAGCAGGTTTGGAGGCTCGGAAAGAGATGAGAATGTGGTGGAGTGCGGAGGGTGTGCGGGGTGTGAGGATGCGAGAGGGGGAGTGCGCGGAGGAGGCATAGAGATGGCATCATCCATGAGATTGGCCAATGGCGAGCTGCCACCTGGCATCCATGCCGCTGTTGGTGGACTTGCATTGGGAGCAGCAGCAGCAGCAGCAGCAGCAGCAGCAGCAGGAGGAGGAGAAGGAGGAGGAGGAGGGGTAGTAGCAGTGGCAGAAGAAGCGGCGGGAGCAGCAGGGGAAGCTTTTAGCCCAGAAGAACTAGGCGGAGGAGGAGGGGAGGGGAAGAGGGAGAGGATGGAGGGACAGCTAGGGTGGGGGGCAGCAGAGGAGGACGCGAGAGAGGGAAGGCGCTGGAAGTCGTGGTGCGTGGGTGATATGCCAAGGACCTCCAGCTGATGGTGGGGGGCGACATGGGGCCACACATACAAGGGGGAGAAAGATTTGGCCATGAGAAGAGGGGAGGGGTAGGTGATATGGTAAGGGGAAGGCGCTGGAAGTCATGGTGCGTGGGTGATATGCCAAGGACCTCCAGCTGGTGGTGGGTGAGGTTAAGAGGCACACGCATGGGGGACAAAGATGTCACGATGATTCCCACCCGCGGATAGGGACAGATACAAGGAGAGTCTATTTTTCAGGCGCCTAAAATACACACATGCACGGGGGAGGAAGATGTCAGGATGCTTCCCACGAATGGGGAGATGTAAAAAAAAAACATACCAGATGTAGCACCGACTGCGCAATCATGATTATAGTAATAATAATAACAACAACTAAACAATAATAACAACAACAACAACAATAATAATAATAATAATAATAGTAATAATAACAACAAAACAATAACAACAACAACAACAACAACAACAACAACAACAACAACACCACCAACAGTAGCAGCAGCAGCAGCAGCAGCAGCAGCAGCAGCAGCAGCAGCAGCAGCAGCAGCAGCAGCAGCAGCAGCAGCAGCAGCAGCAGCAGCAGCAGCAGCAGCAGCAGCAGCAGCAAGCAGCAGCAGCAGCAGCAGCAAGCAGCAGCAGCAGCAGCAGCAGCAGCAGCAGCAGCAGCAGCAGCAGCAGCAGCAGCAGCAGCAGCAGCAGCAGCAGCAGCAGCAGCAGCAGCAGCAGCAGCAGCAGCAGCAGCAGCAGCAGCAGCAGCAGCAGCAGCAGCAGCAGCAGCAGCAGCAGCAGCAGCAGCAGCCAGCAGCAGCAGCAGCAGCAGCAGCAGCAGCAGCAGCAGCAGCAGCAGCAGCAGCAGCAGCAGCAGCAGCAGCAGCAGCAGCAGCAGCAGCAGCAGCAGCAGCAGCAGCAGCAGCAGCAGCAGCAGCAGCAGGAACAACAACAAGAACAAGAACAACAACAACAACAACAATAACAATAATGATAAGAGTAAAAATAATAAATAATTAATTAAATGAAGTAAAATAGAACATTGGAAAAAAAAAGGACTACCTGTCCAAGAGTCATGGGAGAACCAGCAGGAGCAGCACCACTAGCAGAAGCAGGCGGGTAGAAGGTGACCGAGACGAATCGAGTCAAGAAGTCGACCCTTCCATCGCCCTCCTCTGCGTAATCGTACAGAAGGGCAGACGACACCGCCCCTCCCCTCTGCCCCACCTGCTGCTGTTGGTGCTTTTGATAAGCACTACCCTGCTGCCCCATATACCCCTCAACAAGCACAGGGCCTGGGGCGGAACTCACTCCATCATAGCCCGCTGCCCCAGTGGCTACGGCTGATGCTATGCTATTGCTAGCAGCACCAGGAGCAGCAGCAGCAGCAGGAGCGGGCTTGTGTGCAGGGAGGGGGTATTGCAGGACAGTGCCATGGGCACAGCGAGGGATGGAGAGGCCCTGCATGTGTGGGGGTTGGGGGGTTGGGAATAAGGGAGGGTCATGTATTGCTCTGTTGCTATTGCTAGCAGCACCAGGAGCAGCAACAGCAGCAGGAGCAGGAGCAGCAACAGCAGCAGGAGCAGGAGCAGCAGCAGCAGGGGCGGGCTTGCGTGCAGGGAGGGGGTATTGCAGGACTGTGCCGTGGGCACAGCGAGGGATGGGGAGGCCCTGCACGGGGGGTTGGGGGGTTGGGAATAAGAGGGGGTCATGTATTAATCTGCGGCCCCATACACCCCCCAACAAGCACAGAGACGGAGGCAGGCCCTACTCCTTCAGAGGCCGAAACCCCATTGGCTGCGCCTGGTGCACTGCAGGTGCTTGCAGCAGGAGCAGGAGCAGCAGCAACAGGAGCGGGCTTGCGTGCAGGGAGGGGGTATTGCAGGACTGTGCCGGGGGCGCAGCGAGGGGGTATTGCAGGACTGTGCCGTGGGCGCAGCGAGGGATTGCAAGGCCCTGCACGGGGGGGGGTTGTGGGGTTGGGAATAAGAGAGTGTCATGTATTACTCTGCGGCCCCATACACCCCCCAGCAAGCACAGGGACGGAGGCAAACCCCACTCCTTCAGAGGCCGATGCCCCATTGGCTGCGCCTGATGCTCTGCAGGTGCTTACAGGAGCAGCAGCAGCAGGAGCAGCAGAAGGAGCAGGAGCGGGCTTGCGTGCAGGGAGGGGGTACTGCAGGACTGTGCCATGGGCGCAGCGAGGGATGGAGAGGCCTTGTATGGGGGGGGTGGGAGTAAATAAGAGACGGTCATGCTGGGAATTGAAAGAGACGGTACCGATTCAACTGGCGGTGCACGGAGGGGGTACTGTGGGGCTGTCCTGTTGGCGCAGCAAGTAGGAGAATGAATTACGGAAGCAGAGTGGGGAGGGGGGGGGGCAACCTCTGCAACAGTGCGCACCCATGCACCTCGGCAACGAGACACACAGCGTCAAAGGTGCGTCCCACGCGCACGTCGAATCTAGCAGGCGAAAGCGAGTGCTCGAATTTCAAACCGACTCAGAACGCAACTTCTCAAGAGGCTCACCTTGGCAACTAGATGCAGCGAGTCGATGGTGCGTCCCACGCGCACGTCAAATTTAGCAGGGGAGAGCGAGTCGTCGGCCCCATGGGCCACGGTGAGCAGCAAATGGGTTACATGGCACGGAACCCCCACCCCCACATGCACCTCCACCAGGGGCACTGACGCAGGCACCACCCATACCATCCCCTTAGTTTGGGAGGAGCTAATGAGCGCGTTGCTCCGATACAGGCTTGGGAACAGGTTCGGGATCGGCCGGAGCACGTGCGCATGCCCCGAGCCCCCTCCGGCTGCGGCGGGCAGGGAAACGGTCAGCAGCGGGCGGTCGGGCAGCGCAAAGGAAAAATACTTGTGCCGTCTCAACCCAAGAAAAACCTCCAGCTGCCGCTGCCGGGTTGCATCCCACACCAGGTTCAAAAACCTCCTCTGAAGCGAAATCCCGATATTGGTGGCACTGGCAGCAGCGCCTTTCTTGGCCTTACTCGGATCATCACTGAATATGTGGATGATATGGGAGTGCATGGCTCGAGAGCCAGTGTAGAGCGTGGCGTGGACGTCGCCGGCTATAGCGAAGAGGTCCGCGACGGCTGTGACGGCTGCTGGGAGCACCGTGGCTTGGAACTCCCTCACACTCATGTCCAGAGACGCCCAGGAGCGGCCGAGAGTGGTGGGGAGCGGTGGGTGGTGGTGATGGTGCTGCTGCTGCTGGTGCTGTAAGGGAGAAGAGGAAGGCAGCGTGGAGAATGGAGAGGAAGGGGGTGCAGCAGACAGAGCAGGCATAGGGGGGGGCGGGCAGGGGTGCGTCCAGGTGGTTTTGCGCGTGTTGTGGTCGATGTAGAACACCTTGCTGCGGGCCGGGTCCCGCCGCATCTCCCACCCCGCAGGCAGAGCCGCGGCCCACGCCTCCTCCAGCTCCTCCTGTGTTGGTGCACGCACTGACCCTGCTGAGCCAGCCCCCAAGCCCGCACTGCTCCCGCCTCCTCCCGCTGTCCCTGTCCCTCCTGCTCCACCGAAGGCTGCACCGTAATATTGTGAAAACTCACCCCCCAACCCTCCAAAACCCCCAGCTCCTGCTGCTGCTCCTCCTGCTGGTGTCCCCATGCCCCGGCCTGATAAGGTGCTCCCTCCTCCTCTCGACCATGCGGCGTCCAGGGATATTCCCAGGTGCTGGCACTGTTGCACAAACACCTGAAGGGGTGATATGGGGGGGGGGGGAATGGAATGCTTGCGATTAGCCCGATTGCTTTGCTGCTAGACTAGATTGTTCTGCTGCTTACCTAGAACTTTGTACTGCTTGCTTAGTTAAAATGCTGCTTACCTCAGATGCTACAGCGATGCTGAATCTATAACCTATACTACCCAACCTTTTCACCCGCACACTGCTTTTGAGGCGCCTAAAAAATAACCTATACTACCCAACCTTTTCACCCGCACACTGCTTCTGAGGCGCCTAAAAAAAACCTATACTACCCAACCTTTTCACCCGCACACTGCTTTTGAGGCGCCTAAAAAATAACCTATACTACCCAACCTTTTCACCCGCACACTGCCCATGCCTCCCTCTCACCTGCACACGGCCCATCCCTCCCTCTCACCTGCGCACGGCCCATGCCACTCCCTCACCCGCACACAGCCCATGCCTCCCTCTCACCTGCACAGCCCCGAAGAAGCTAGCCGCGTTGGTGCGGTCCAGAGAATCGGCACAGTTGAATCGCACCACCCCATGCTGTCGCCGCGTCACCTCAAAGTAACCCCTCTGCACCCCTACGTTCTCAACCACCTCCTCTACACTCCCACTCCCCTCGCAACTGACACCCCCCTCCCCCCCTCTCGCATTAGCGCCTCCACCAGCCAACTCCCCTGGATGATACCTCCCCAGGTTAAAGCCAATCCCCTGCAGAGACACCTTCAGCCGCTGCCACAGCCCCTCCACAGTCGCCGCCTCCCCGACCGCCCGGGTCATGGCGTGCCAGTCGTACGTGAATAAGTCGAGCGATGCCGCCCGCAGCTCTGGGCGGCTGCGCATGGAGCGGACGGCTTCCTGGAAGTGGTCTGAGAGGAGGAGCTCGGGTTTACCCACGCCGATTCTGAGGAGGTTCACACACACTATGGGGAACTTGCGGGGCGGCGGGAGGGAGGAGAGAGAAGAGGGGGAGTGAGAGGAGGGTGGGTGAGAGGAGTGAGAGGCGGAGGAGGAGGAGAGAGAAGAGGAGGGAGAGTAGCGGCGGAGCAGCCTGGTGAAGTAGGGAGCGGTGCCTTCCGCCTGAGTCTCTGCCACAAAAATCTCTGCATCTTGAATCGAAGATTTGATCTCCGCGCCCCACCATATGGGCACCGTGCCCCGCCGCCACACGAACGTGGAATACGCCACAGGAGAGGCGAAGGAGGAGGAGGGGGATGCTGACGAAGCTGTTGAAGATGATGATGCGTACGATCCCCCCTGGGGTAGGATAACCGCATCAGATTGGGCGAACGAGGAGAGAGAAGAGACTGACGACGAGGGAGACACCGAGGGCGACGAACCAGAGGAGAAACCTACTGGCGGTGGGGCCCACACGATCTGCTCACACTCCACCTCGTTCCCCGTCCCAGCAGCAGTGTTAATCCCCCTCGCCAGGTACCGCGTCCCCGGGTGCAGCCTGCTCCGCCGCGCCACAGACACCACATCCACCATCCGCGCGTTCGCGTCTGAGAACGCGCGGAGCTCCGCCAGCCCCTGCAGGAGGACCGCGCAGTGCTGGCGCAACCCTAGCGCGCGGAAGGGCGCGGAGAGAAATTCGTTCCAGACGAATTCCCAGTCCGGGAGCCATGGCGGGTGGGGGCTCGGGAACGGGCGGGTGATGTCTCTGGTCTCGCAGAAATAGTGCAAATCAGCGATTGACACGTCAGCTAGGTCCTGGACGGCCTTGGCTTCGGATTTGGTTTGGGATGCGGCGCCGGCGGGGGATTTGAGCGGGATTTTGACCCATTGGGATTCGGTAACGGTGTAGACTGTATCGGGGCCAGACGGGAGGGTGCGGACTGTGGCGCGTACGCGCGTCGCGACGAGGAGCAATCCGACGGTGTTGAAGGCCGCGTAGCCGATCAGCGCGCGGCCGTGCACGGCGGATCGGACGGCCACGGTGCTGCCACGTGTCGCGGCGAAAAGCGCGTCGGATTCGGTGCGGAAGACGTCGAGGCCGGGGCGGTTGGCGAAACGGAGCGCGCCAGTGGTGGGATCGACGGCGATTAAAAGAGTGTTGGGGAGGGTGGAGAGGGAGAGGAGGAGGACGAACTCGCCGGATTCGAGCTCGATTACCTCCGCGCGGGTCTCGCGAAAGGGTGTCACTGCCATGGAAGGGGGTGGGGGGGTTGGGGGGGGAGGGGGGGGAGGTGGGGGGGGAAGGGAAAGGATTGAAGGGCGAAGAGGGAGAGGAGAAGGACTAACTCGCCGGATTCGAGCTCAATTACCTCTACTCGAGTCTCGTGAAACCGTGCTGCTGCATGGGGGGTGGTAAGGATTGAAGACGGGGAAGGCGTGGTGATGAGATGAGTCTTGACAGCAGAATGGAAGCAAGTTGGAATGGAAGTCTTGAATTGCAGAGTAATGAGTCTGTTTTTGAGTCGACTCGAGAAGTGCTTCCATTCTGCTGAATGAGACAAGAGCACGGATCGATGGAGTGATGGAAGAAGCGTCTGGTAAGGGAGTAGCTGGTGATGACCTGGTGATGGTTCTAGAACCGAGCACCAGACAAATGCTTATAACGAGTCAGGACAAATGGTCATATCGAATTCTACTGGCATATTTGCACTTAAGACTTGGCTTACATGTCCGTGTCGCCATACTAGAGGTTGTTCCTGATGTGATGAGTAAATTAAAGCGAAGTTGTCTTGCCAAGATTCAGAGGATCGACTCGCTCTTAGTCGGACAAGGACAGCTCTCCGGATCACGCGCTCTGGAAAGCAACTAAGCCTGCAATTAAGAAGCACTTTATGCTTCCCATATCCTACTCACTGATCAAGAAACGGACTTTCCAGCGCTAGCTCAGTGGGTTCTCTTGATAAAGCCACTGCGGTGGTACTTTCTGCTACGACCTACGAAAGTACCATCTGACCACCTACGACGCAGCATAATCGTCTCAACGCAGAATGGAAGACACTCTCTACTAATGACATTCTAGAACTATTCCCTGAAATCATTGCCACTGAGTGCCTCATCCATAATCATAGAATGTCCTAGGCATACGGCTAGCCTGAATCAGGGAGACAGCATCTGCAAAAGTAGCCGTTCAGCGGAAGTCCTCCGTACTCGACATTGCACCACACACGCTTGGCAATCTCGATCCGTTACAGTCATCATTGTTCAACCATGTACAATGCAACTGCACCTGTTTACATTTTCTTTATCGACAGGAATCTCGGCTTTCCCTCTCCATCCGCCGTCCCTGACTCGATTTCCGATAGAATTTCAGCGGTCCACGCGGAACCTAGGGAACTACGGGCATGTCGTGAGCTTTCGTTTTCGGGCAATACCCTGCAGAACCGTTCTACAGTGTTATTTGATCTTTGTGAAAAGCTCTTCATCTTACTCAACCGCAACGGACGAACCCTTGGGCACGCCCACATTTTTGCAGGGATTTCCTTCACTGACGCACTCTAGGCCTGGCAGCCATACTGTACCCCTCTGGAGGGGAGCCTGCTACATAGTTCGAGTGGAGGTTTGTTCGTGCAAGTGTAATTACTCTGTCGTCGAGATTGAGATTAACTCCGTGTCGCTTCTGGCATTCACTGACGACTGGTCGGATCGTGATTCGTGATTCCTGACGTGAGTTGTTTGGCCTACCTTCTCGGAGTTGCTTCTTTACGGCCGACCATTTACGGGCTTCTTCGTTTCCGTGTTTGCGTTTCGATTTTCTCCATCTTCCGACGCCTCTTTCCGGCTATCCCAGCTCGGACGTCTTATCCTATTCGTTTCTGCTGGCAATCCCTGTGCGCCTGAATTTTGAAAGAAAGAAAAAGCTTCGCCACAGCAGCTCCTCATGGCGCCGGTTCAGCCGCGATCCGCGCTGCATAATCCGCCGCATCCGCCGCCGCAATCGGCGCCGCAGCGCGCGCTGCAGCTGGACCAACAGTCGACGATGGACCTAACCCTGACGGTGCTCCAGCGGATGGACCCCGCCGTCGCGGAGATCTTGCTGACGGTCGGCCACGTCACGGTGTACGAGTTTGACGTGGCGGCCTCCTCATGGGTGCGTGCGTGCATGTCGTAAAGGGTGTGTGTGCTGTAGTGTGCTGTAGGTGTGGGGCAGGTAGGGTGTGTACCTTGCAAGGTGTGTGTGTGTGTGTGTGTGTGTGTGTGTGTGTGTGTGTGTGTGTGTGTGTGTGTGTGTGTGTGTGTGTGTGTGCACCTTGCACTGCAAGTGCTGCTGCTGCATCTGACTGTTTAGCGCTGGGTCCCATTGAGTCCCTTCTGCTGCTTCCTGGTGACGCTGTGCGCGGCGCCCTATACTCATCCCATTCCACCTCCTTCCATCCCATCCAATCCCATCTTATATTAACGGTTGCAGACACGAAAGGACGTGGAAGGATCCCTGTTTGTCGTCAAACGGTGAGTGTATGCCCCTGCAGACTTTCCCGGACTTAGGCATTTGTTTGCTTTTTTTTTTTTTCTTTTTTTTGTGCACTTGTTGGAGCTTGTTTGCACTTGTTTGCGCTTGTTTGCACTTGTTTGGACTCGTTACAAAGGCATTTGCACGCTTGCTTTGTTGCGTAACCTTTGCCATCCCATCCCTTCATGTTCCTGCCCAGAGTTGCAACACGTTACCTCTACCATCCCTATGACTTGTCGCATCTCATCTTCCGCCCCTGCCTCCTTCCTCCGTCCCCCTTTCCGTGGATGAATGCACGTATGTGGCCATGTGTGCATGCATGTAAATTTGCGTGTATGTGTGCATGTGTGCATGCATGTATAAATGTGTGCATGCGTGTATGTGTGTATGTGCGTATGCATGTGCTTGTACGCAGCAAGGAGCAGCCTCGCTTCCAATTCATAGTCATGAATCGCAGAGCGCCAGGTGAGTGGATACATGCATGTGTGTGCATGTGGGAATGCTGCTTCTTGTGCATACATATAACGCAGCAAGGAGCAGCCTCGCTTCCAGTTTATAGTCATGAATCGCCGAGCACCCGGTGAGTTGGTTTTTGAGAATTCTCAAAACCCAAAGCAGCCTCGCTTCCACTTCATAGTCATGAGTCGCCGAGCACCAGGTGCGGTTGCTTCCTGGTGGCACCGCGTTTTATAAGTCCTATCACTACCACTTCGTGAGGGTGGTTTGGGTTGGGTTGGGCATAGGTGCGGTGCAGTGCACCTTGTTTCCAAGTGTTTTTTAGAATTCTAAAAAAGAGTGTTTTTTTTTTTCTCAAAAACACTCTGCATAGGTGCGGTGCAGTGCGCTTGGTTTCCGGATCCTGATTCCTGCATATCTCTGATTTATGAGAAAGAAAGGCCCGTCAAATTCCCCTTCAATTCCCACCTTGCAGATAACTTAATCGAGGGCCTGCTGCTGTTGGGTGAACCGACCTACGAGTGGCATCGCAGCCGTGGCTGCAACTTTTGAGGTGCCTCAAAAGTTGCAGCGGTGGCCTGACTGAGAATCTTCGTTTTGAGGCGCCTCAAAAGTTGCAGCGGTGGCCTGACTGAGACTCTTCAAATTTCTGTGCCTCCCCTCTCACCCACCCACCCACCCCCCGCTCTCTTTTTCCGCTTCCCTTGATCCCCAGATAACCTGATCGAGGACTTGTTGGGGGACCTAGAGTACGAGGTGCAGCCGCCGTACATCCTGTATCGCAACAGGGGCGGCGAAGTGAACGGAATCTGGTTCTACTCGCTCAAGGAGTGCCACGATGCCGCCACCCTCTTCTCGCGCATCCTCAACACCTTCTCCCGCCACACCCACGCGCCCAAGAAGCCCCTCGTGCCCTCCAATAGGTAAGCCCGCTGCTCTCCCGCACCACCATGACTCTCGTGCCTTGAGACGTCTCACAACCAACCTTCTCCCGCCATTCCCACGCGCCCAAGAAGCCCCTCGTGCCCTCCAATAGGTAAGCCCGCTGCTTTCCTGTGGTAGGAAGTTATTTCTGATGTGACTAAGCAACCCCTCTTCTCGCGCATTCTCAACACCTTCTCCTGCCACTCCCACGCGCCCAAGAAGCCCCTCGTGCCCGCCAGTAGGTAAGCCGGCTCGCAACAGGGTGCACCTACTTCTTTTGAGGTAGCCCACCACTCCCGTGCGCCGCTCCCTCCCTCGCGCCCAAGAAACACACGTGCCCTCCAACCAATAGGGGAACAACTACTTTTGAGGAAGTTATTACTGATGTACATTAAAAAAAGAAAAAAAGAGAGACATCTCATTTGTGTACTTCCATGTGCTATCATCTCATTTGTGTCCTCTAGCTTCTCTCCTTCCCATCACCACTATTCTTTCTCCCATCCCTCCTTCGCCTCTTCTCCTTACCTTTCAGCCCTCTCTTTCCCCCCCTTTTCCCCCTTCCGCCCTCGCCCTCCCAGCGCTGAGTGCTCCGAGCTCGAAGCCGTCCCTTCAGCTGACATGGTAGACAGCCCCTTGGAGCGCAGGAGACCTTGCAACCGTAGCCATGAGTCGCCTCCTCCTGTTCCCGTGCCTTTCCTTTGTCCCTTCCCTCATCCCCATCCCCTCATCCCCTCCCAGTGTTGAGGCGCCTCAAAACTCATCCCCTCCCAGCGCTGAGTGCTCCGAGCTCGAAGCCGTTCCTTCACCTCACATGGTAGACGGCCCCTGGAGGAGCGCAGCACCGCGCCAAAGCACCGCGCCATACCTTTCAGCCCTCTCTTTCCCCCCCTCCCCTCCCCCCCTCCTCCCTCCCCCCTCCCAGCCCTGAGTACTCCGAGCTCGAAGCCGTCCCCTCGGCTGACATGGTGGACGGCCCCCTGGAGCACAGCACCCCTCAGGAGAACCCCGGAGCAGCTTCTTCCCTTTCCTCCTCCCCCCCCAAACCCTCCCCCCCCCCCCCCCCACATCATTCCAGCCCTGAGTACTCCGAGCTCGAGGCAGTCCCTTCCGCTGACATGGTGGACGGCCCCCTGGAGCGCAGCACCCCTCAGGAGCACCCCGGAGCAGCAACCCCCTTCTATTCTGCCCTCTTTCTTCCCTTTCCTCCTCCCCCCCCAACCCCCCCCCCTCCTCCCCCACATCATTCCAGCCCTGAGTATTCCGAGCTCGAAGCCGTCCCCTCAGCCGACATGGTGGACGGCCCTCTGGAGCCCAGCACGCCACAGGAGCAGCAGCAAGCCTCGTTCTTTGACGGGCCGCAACAACCACTGGACCCCGCCGCACTGCACATTCTGAACGCGCCTCTGGAGTCCGTCTCCTCAGCAGCAGACGGTGTAAACGGGCCTCTTGAACCCGGCGCGTCCCAAGAGCACCTCGCTTTTGCCCCCCTCCCTCCCTCCGCCTCTCTCCCCCTCCCTCCTCCCTCTTCTCGCCCCCCCCCTTTTCAAGACGCGCGTTCTACCTCCGCCCCCGTGCCCCCCTCCCTGCTCTGCACCCTGCTCCCGTCCCTCTCCGCAACACAAGAGAGCTTTATCCCCCCTCAAAACCCACCTCTCTCCGGAACACCAGAGCCGCAGCTGACCCCACTCCCGCTGCTGCAGGGCCAGCAACAGCAGGAGAATGGGTTGAGGCAGCAAGAGGGGCAGCAGCAGTCGCAGCAGCAGACGCAGGGGCAGGGGCAGGGGCAGGAGAAGGGGGGGGGGCAGGGGCAGGGACAAGGGCGGGGTGTGGTGGTGAGTGAACAGATGCAGGCACTGATGGATCTGCAGGCAATGCTGCATATTCAGCCAGCAACAGCAGCAATTATGCCCACAGCAGCAGCAATCCCAGCAATGGAAGGGCAAGGGACACGTGCGCTACAACCACCACCACCTTCCGCTACAGCCCTGCTATCTCACCCTCCTCTGTCTTCCATCTCAACTCCTGCTCTCCTGAAGCCCTCTTTCTTCTCAGCCTCCCCTCCTTCCGCCCCTTCTGCGTCCGCCGCACCAACAGCAGCACAGCCGCCGCCACTGCCGCCACTGGCAGCATTACCACTGGCACTGCCAGCGCTACAGCCGCCACTGGCGCCACTGCCAGCGCTACAGCCACCACTGCCACCACTGCCAGCGCTACAGCCACCAGGTGCTCCTCCGCCTTCTCTCCCCTCTCACATTCCCTTTCCCACTCCTTCTTTTGAGTCGACTCAAAAGCTTTCAGCACTACCACCACCAGGTGCTCCTCCGCCTCCTCTCCCCTCTCACATTCCCTTTCTCACTCCTTCCGCCCTCGCCTCCTCACTCCTCTCCTCCTCCTCTGCCTCCCCCTCTCAGTCCACTCTCTCCTCTGCAGCTTTAACCACCAGCAGCAGCAGCAGCAGCCATTTTCAGGTGCCTGCTCACTTCATGCTGCCACTCCCTTCCACTGCTCCCTTCCCTCCCCTACCTCCTCTCCCCTCTTCTGCTACTGCTTGCCACCTCCTAGAGAAAGGAACAGAAGTCCAAGGAGAGAGAGGAGGAGAGGGAGCAGGGGAGGCAGGCGAAGGGGGGTCTGCACCCACACTGTCAGCAGCAGCCGAGACAGGAAGGGAGAGCGAGCAGGATAGTGGGCGTGAGGGTGAAACCGAGAGGGTATCAGGTAGTGAGAGCGAGCGCATGTCCCGGGCTCTAGCAGCGCTCCTGCAGCCCACCCATGGGGCTCCCATGCTGCAACCATTTCCCCCGCCCGCCCCGCCCCCTTCCCTCGCCTCCCCGGTCCCTCCTCTCGCCCCCCCTCCCTCCGTACCTGCATCTGCTTCTGCGTCTGCTTCTGCCTCTGCTGCTGCTGCTGCTGCTGTTGGTTCTGGGCTATTCCTGCAAGGGGAGAGAGGAGGGGAGGGCGTGACGGTGGTGGTGACAAAGGAAGGGCTCAAAGCTGCACTGCTCAGACTGGTGCAGGTGAGAACTGGTTCAGGTGAGAACTGGTGCAGGTGAGACTGGTGCAGGTGAAAACTGGTGCAGTTGAGACTGGTACAGGTGAAAACTGGTGCAGGGGAGACTGGCGCAGGTGAGACTGGTGCAGGTGAAAACTGGTGCAGGTGAGACTGGTGCAGGTGAAAGAGACTGGTGTAGGTGAGAACTGGTGCAGGTGAGAATCGGTGCAGGTGAGAATTGGTGCAGGTGAGAACGGTGCTGGTGCGACTGGTGCAGGTGAGACCGGTTCCCTACGTTTCTCTCGACCACGTCCCCTCTCCCACTCCCCCCCCTCCACTCTCATGTCCTGGCGTCCCTTCCTGTCATCCTCAATCAGTATGGCCTTTCTCGAGTTCGGTGTGTTATAACTTTTCTAATACATCCCCCTCCTTTGCCTCCTCCTCCTTCCTCCCGTTCCCATCGCCTGTTCTCTGGTTTTTGTTGCTCCGGTCTTCCTTCCTTCAAAACGAGAGCTTTAGGGTGTATTCCAACTTTTTAGTGTTCAGCACCAGAGACCTGTCTAAACACCTGTCTAAACACCTGTCTAAACACCTGTCTAAACACCTGTCTAAACACTTGCTGATTTGCAACATGCTGTTCAGTACCGGCACCGAGAGTGTCGCACAAGCCAGTTGCACGAAGCTGTGATCCACATGTCGTGCAAACGATGCGCCAATGGGTGCATCGTTTGTACGGTGTGACCCTGATGGGTGTGCCTCACTGACCATGCCGGCCAATCGACATCTATATCGCGCGGACGTGGCCGTGGTGCTGAACTTGGTGCTTTATTAGGTGAGTTGGTTTTTGCGAATTCTAAAAAACCAACTGTCCATGCCGGCCAACTGCTTTTGAGTCGACTCAAAAGCAAAAACCAACTGCCCATGCCGGCCAACTGCTTTTTGACTCGACTCAAAAGCAAAAACCAACTGTCCATGCCGGCCAACTGCTTTTGACTCGACTTTAAAGCAAAAACCAACTGTCCATGCCGGCCAACTGCTTTTGAGTCGACTCAAAAGCAAAAACCAACTGTCCATGCCGGCCAACTGCTTTTGAGTCGACTCAAAAGCAAAAACCAACTGTCCATGCTGGCCAATCGACGTCTATGTGTGCGACATCGCGCGGACGTGGACTTGGTGCTGAACTTGGTGCTTTATTACGGGTACAATGCTCAGACTCGTTTTTGGGTTCCTGCTACTGAACACTATTCTGTAGGAATATGCCCTTATTGACATGCTTTTTTAAAGCCCGCGGCTAAAATAGCAGACCAGGAAACCACTTGAATTTGGTGCTCTGAAATCCGTCTAAGTCTAGAATGGAAGGCAGCTTTGAGTTCAAGCCTGAACAAGAAAAGTGTGTCGAAACAAATTCTGGTCGAGCTTGCTGATTGGAGGATTGTTGAAAGAACTCGTTTTGCTGTTTGTTGCGACACGATCATTTGGATGCGAATTGCGCAAAAACACTGTGTGCATCGCACGGAGTTTCTACGACGGGTTTGGGCGAGCAGCTTGCGACGAGGAAATACAGACGCTTTTTGACTGGGGAATTCAAGTGATTACCAGGTCTGCAATTCCAGAATCAGCGACTGTTCGCCAAAAAAACACTGTTCTTCTCGCATTTTCACTGTTCACGGATCCACGAATTCGGTCGCACGACGCGTATTGCACTGTTCACCGAATGGTTTCGTGCAAAAACTGTCGCCATACCGCCACGGTCAGATTCCGCTTTGCAAAACGAAATGTTTTTATTCTGTTTCGTTTACTCTAAAGATGAAGTCATGTGCCAAGTTCAAGAGCAAATTAAACAGCCCTCTTGATTGCTATTATAGCCACGGGCTTTAATGAAATTACAGGTCCCGGTTACAACTCCTTTCACCGCTCCCCGTCCACCTTCCCCTCCCCTCCCCCTCCCCCTCCCCCTCCCTTCTTTCAGAATGACAGCTTCATTGACATGCTCTTTCAAGAGCTTTCTCTTGCACACTCAACCCCTTAATGACCCTGCTGACTTGAAAGCAAGTTGCATGCTTAGGCGTGTTGAAATGCCTCAAGGCATGTGTTTTCGTGACTTTGGCTAGCTACACGCACATTTAAGCATAGCTAGTAGTCGTCTCACCCTGTCACGTGGGCAAAATCAATGCCCTTTGTAGCACACTCGTTAGGACCTTTCTCTCACAGCCCATACCAACTTACTGTCAAACACATTTGTGTATGGTGTTGTAGACCATATAGGGTTGTGCCTTAGAAAGTACAGCCCCCTAGGTTATAATGCCTTGTACTCTCACATTCTAGTCATTCTGTCAGTTTGATATGATATCATGAGTAGGTTAGGTTCCCTTTGCCCACCAGCGCTTCCGCCGTAAGTCCTAGCCGTCTCGCCTACCCCGTCCCCTAGCGGCCCATCGGCCCTTTCTCCTAGCGGCCACGCGGCCCCGTCCCCTAGCGGCCCCTCGGCCCCGTCGACCAGCGGCCCCGCGGCCCCGTCGACCAGCGGCCCTGCGGCCCCGTCTCCTAGCGGCCCCTTGGCCCCGTCGACCAGCGGCCCCGCGGCCCCGTCCCCTAGCAACCCAGCGGCCCCGTCCCCTAGCGGCCCCTCGGCCCCGTCGACCAGCGGCCTCGCGGCCCCGTCCCCTAGCGGCCCCGCGGCCCCGTCCCCTAGCGGCCCCGCGGCCCCGTCCCCTAGCGGCCCCTTTGCCCCGTCCCCTAGCGGCCCCTTGGCCCCGTCGACCAGCGGCCCCGCAGCCCCGTCCCCTAGCGGCCCCTCAGCCCCGTCGACCAGCGGACCCGCGGCCCCGTCCCCTAGCGGCCCCGCGGCCCCGTCCCCTAGCGGCCCTGCGGCCCCGTCCCCTAGCGGCCCCTTGGCCCCGTCAACCAGCAGCCCCGCGGCCCCGTCCCCTAGCGGCCCCGCGGCCCCGTCGACCCGCGGACTTACGGCCCCGTCCCCGTAGCCGGCCCCGTCCCGCCGCCGGCCCGTTCCCCTAGCCGGCCCCGTCCCAAAGCCGACCCCGTCGCGTAGCTGACCACGCCGAGCCGACTCCGCCAGGTAGCTGGCCCCGTCACCTAGCCGACCCCGTCGCCGCGTCGGCCCCGTCGCCCAGCCGGCCTCGCCTTCCAGCCAGCCCGCGCTGACCCCGCACCGCACTGCACCGCCCTGCACTGCACTGCACCGCACTGCACCGCCTTGCACTGCATTGCACCGCACTGTATCGCACTCTACCGTACTGCACTGTACTACCCCGCCCTTCTGCCGCCGCACTGACCCTGATGGCGGACTCGGTGTTGCGCTTCGACGCGGAGGGCCAGCCGGTCGAGTTCGACACGCGGCTCGTCGACCTCCGCCGTCACCTCACTGGTCAGCGGCAGGACGGCCACTCCTTAGCCGTCCACCTCGACGGTACGCTCCCCTGCCCTGACCCCCCTGCTGCTCTGCCCGCTGACCCCTCGTCTGCTGACCGTGAGTCCGCTCCTGCTGCCGCCCTTGCCCGCTCAGACAGGTTGTCGCGTGACGCAGTCGCACAGCTCGCGATCAGTCATGCCCTCCCCCTGTCTGAGTGCCCATGGTTTTGGTCAGTCAGGACTGCGCAGAAGTTCCTCGAGGCTGTTGTCGCGCGCTACTCCACCCCACCCGCTGCCTTAGTCGGTCGTCTCATCCTGCCCATGCTCTTTCCCGATCTCGCGTCTTTCCCAACGGTCGCTGACCTGGCCGCCCATCTGCGCACGCTAGATGCGACTTGGCGGGCTGCCTGCACTGAGTCCCAGGTTTGTGTATTTCAGCCACCCATCTGCTCTACCCTCTACCTGCTTGCCACACGCCTTCCTGACCGCCTTGCTACCGCCCGCGATCACTTCCTTAGTCTCCACGCCGCTGACCTCACCCTCACTGACTTTGTCGACACCCTGTCTGCCATAGAGACCTGCCAGCGCTCTATCGCCCAGTCTAGCGATACTGTGCCGGTCACTATCTTTCAGGGCTGTGCCCCCGGTCAGTGTACTTTCCCTGACAGTTCTGCTGTTGTTGCTGAGACAGCGCTTGCTGTGGCGACAGCCGCCGCAGCGCAGTTCCGTCCAGGGAAGGGTCGCCGCCCCAAGGATGGGCGCGGCGGCGGTAGTGGAGGAGAGGGTGGAGGAGGTGGTGGAGACAGGCCGCACGCTCGTAGTATGGACGAGGGGACTGGGGCTGGGGCCTCCGAGCAGCATGACCAGCAGCAGCAGGAGCAGGCGCTGCAGCAGCAGCCGCAGCAGTAACAGCAGCAGCGGGCTGGTGGTCTCCCGCTCGGGTGGCCTCGCGCTGGTGGTGGTGGTGGACGTGGTGGTCGTGCGCGCAGTGTGCCGTCTGGTGGTAGTTCGGGCGCTGTCCGTACCATCTCCAGACAGGTCCTCGCTGCGGCTCCGTGTGCGGTAAGATCGGTCACACCCCCGCCGGCTGTTTTCGTCGCCTGGACGACCTATTTCGTCTTCGCTTCGGCCCATCGCCCAACCTCCGCGACTGGAACAGCTTGCTTCGCCGTAGTGTTCAGATCTTTGATATGGACATGGATGAGATTAGCTCTGCTTTGTATGTGCTGTATGTCGTAGACTCTAGAGTGATTGGTTCCTACTACCCCTTGTTGCCTAGTGTAGGTGTGCCTAGTTCGGCCTCCCCTGCTGCGTCAGGCATAGGATCCCCTGCCTTGTTTAGTCTTGGCTCCTCCCTCGCCACTCCGACACTGGCCGCCACTGCTGTGCTCTCCTTTTCCCTAGACTCTGGCGCTACCCGGTGTTTCTTTCGCGACTCCACTATGCTGACGCCGATTGCCGCTCCCGCCACAGTTTCCCTTGCTGACCCCTCCTCAGGTCCGGTAGTCGCCCGTAGCTCCACCACCCTTCCCTGTCCGGCGGTTCCTTCAACTCTCTTATAGGCGTGCACATCCCCTTGTTCACTAGGAACCTAGTTGGTGTCGGCTGCCTCCAAGACCTTAGCGTCACTACTACGTTTCCTGGTCACGAGCGGTACGCTATATGTACCGAGGCCGCCACTGGTGCTCCCCTCACCACGTTCCCCCGGGACTCGGTGTCTGGCCTGTTCACGCTGGACACCCCCCCCCCCCCCCTCCCCCGCTGGGACGTCTCCCCAGGTGGCTGCTTCTACCCAGGTTGCTGCGGCCTGCTCGTGTCGGTCGCTTACTCACCCGACACTTCTGTGGCACCACTGTCTAGGTCACTCCGCGCTCCCGCGTCTGCGCCACATGTCTCAGCACGGTCTTGTCCTAGGTCTCCAAGAGTCGTTCCCTGAGTTGCCCTCCTCCCCAGTGCCGCCGTGCACGCCCTGCGTCGAGGGCCGGCTCTGCCGTGCCCCTTACTCCTCCTCGTCCCCCCCCACCGGCGCACCGCTACAGACCCTACACATGGACGTCTGGGGCCCCGCCCCCGTCCATGGGTCACGTCGAGAGCGCAACTTCCTCGCGCTTCTCGACGACTACACGCGCTACACCACTTTTTTTCCCCTGGAGCGGAAGGCGGATGTGCCTGACGCTCTTATCCCGTAGCTGGTATCTGCACGTGTGCACCGAGGTCTCCCTGTCTTACGTCTTCACTCCGACCGTGGTGGCGAGTTTGCCTACAGCATCCTTCGTCGTTTCTGTCGTGCGGAGGGCATCACCTAGACGTTCACCCTACTGGACTCCCCGCAGCAGAATGGGGTCGCTGAGCGATGCATCGGTTTGGTCATGGAGGTGGCTCGTACCTCCATGATCCATGCCAGTGCACCCCATTTTCTGTGGCCGCTCGCCGTTCGTTACGCCGCTCACCAGCTTAACCTGTGGCCGCACCCCCAGCAGCCGCAGGTTTCGCCGACCCTTCTTTGGACCGGGTCCCGTGGTGACGCGTCTGCGTTCCACGTCTGGGGCTGCCTTGCTCACGTTCGTGCCTCTGGCACGGACAAGCTCACTGTCCGCACAGTCCCCTGTGTCTTCCTCGGTTTCCCCCTCGACTCGTTTGATTGGCACTTCTACCACCCGCCATCTCACCGTTTCTTTTACTCTCGCGACGTCACCTTTGACGAGTCCGTCTCCTTCTACCACCGCTTTCCCCACCGTGGTCCCCCGGTTACTCCCCCCCTGTTCCTGGTTCCCCCTCCCCCGGTCGCCCCTGCTCCTCCCCCTCCCCCCCCTGCCCCGTCTGGTGTGTCTCACGTCACCCCCCTCCCGTCGGTTGTCCCGGTCGAGGAGTCTGCTGACCCTAGTGGCCCTGCGGCGCAATCCTCGCCGCCCGCCCCTCCCCCGGTGTCTCCTCCTCCGTCGTCGCAGCAGTCGTTGTCGTAGCCGCCGCCGCCGCAGCCGTTGTCGCAGCCGCAGCAGCAGCAGTTCGTCGACCCTGGGGGTGCTGGTATTGAGGAGGGTTCTCGTCCTGGGGTTCCTGTCGTGGCTTGTCCCGGCACACCTGGGGGTTGTACCGGTGCTGGAGAGGTTCTTGGTTCTGGGGGTGCTGGAGTGGAGTGTTCCGGAGTCGGTCGTGGAGTAGCTGGCGGTCCCGGTGTTGCCGTCGTGCCGCCGCAGCAGCAGTCGCCGCCGGTGTCAGCCCTTCGCCCGATCGGCCTTTCGTCCCCTTACCGCGCGCGTGTGCCTTCTCCATCGTCTGCTCCCCTTCCTGTCTATGGCCCTGTGTTCCCTCCTCCACACTCGTCTCCGGCTCGTCTTCCTCCGCGTTCTCCTCCTGTGTCTCCTCCTTTTTCTCCTGACCTGACACCTCCGTCTCACGTGTGGTCCCACCGTCCCTCTCGTGCTCGTCCTGTCTCTCCTTTTTTCCGAGCTCTCACCCTATGTTGCTCCGTTCCCACGCGTCTCATCCTCCCCTCCTCCTGTCGCCTCCTCCGTCCTCCCTTGTTATCGCGCCTCCCCCTCTGTCTGACTACCTTCGTGCAGCTCGTCCTCTTATTCCTCGGGTCCTTGCCTCTCTCGTTACCGACCCGTTTGTTCCTGTTTCGCGTCTTGACGCTCTTGTCGCTGCGGTCGCTGGCTTCACCTCTACCCGCCGCCTTGACAACGCCACTGCTCTGGTCTCTGACCCTGCTCGTCCTCCGTCCGACGGGAGTGCTCCTGCCCTCGGCCGTGACGTCATGGAGGACCGGCAGTACAAGCTTGCTTTCCAGTCCGAGGCTGCTCCCCATCTCTGTTCCATGTTGCTAGTCCCTGAGGGTGACCCCAATGCTTTCGACATCCCGACCCCTCGCACCTACGCTGAGGCCATCTCGGGACCCTGGGCCTCTCAGTGGATAGCTGCCATGGAGCAGGAGATGGCACCTTGGAGATCCACCGGCACC